TGGTTGCTTTACCGGTCAGCACAGAGAATATGCCTGTCCATCAGGCGGCGAAATCTTAAGTTCCCAAACCGCCCAACTTTGGTTTGGCAACATGAAATCACCAAACCGCGTTCGAACAAAGCTCAAGTGGTGCCCTTCCCGAATGGATTTTCCACGAATCTGGATCGCCCACAGGCCCTGCTGTGCTTGAATTCCAGTGAGAAGGCCGGGGGGCTTCGGCCGGAAGAGGAAAGGAGTCAAGGTCAAAAGATCTACAGGACCCTCAAACCACCCATCAAAGTGGTTTATTGCCACATTTGACCCTGACACCACCCGGAAAAAAGGGGTTATTGCCCCAACACATGTGGTGATTTCCCGTGATTCCCTTTTCTTAAGGCTGATTTGAGGGTCCAGGTAAGGGGAATAAGGATTGCCAATCCCAGACACAATTTGGACCACCCATGCGAAATTTTGCTTTACAAGGGCAGCCTTGAATCCACAGCCCTTTATGATGAGTAGGTTGATAGAAATTGTCTTCACGCGTTGACTAAGTGTCAAAAGTGTCAGTGATAGGAGGGTTTCAAGAGGTCAACTTCCCTTATGCCACCCCGAAAGTTTTGTGCTGCATGCCATGTTTTGGCAGTTTTGGTCAACCTGCCACCGGGGTGCCGCTTTCTTTTTCGTTCCCGCTTCGAAAGGCTGCGCCACATGTCAGGCTTCAAAACAGGACGTACTTTAAGCAACCGACATGGAGGGTTTGATCTTGGTTGTGTGTGTTGTGGGTTCTGTTCATTTAAAGTTGGTTGGTTGGACACATCTCGGCTGAGAGGACTGGATTTCAAGTCTTCAATTGGAATTCCAATTTGCAGTGGGTGTGTGGTCGTTTTTTCGCCCCCCCCCCCCCAAAAAAGAAGAAGAAGAAAAGACAAAAAACAACAACACAAAGGTGGTTTTCCTCTTGGTTGCTCTTGAAAGCCCACCAACAAAAGGGTACTAACTACCAACTGAAACATAGACACACCCATACACGGTTGTTGTTGTTGGGAAACATCTTACATTGTTGCTTATTGTGGTTGAGTGGTTGAAATCCAAATCTACTGAACTGCTAGAATTTTCAATATTTTGCTCCCCAAACCCAACGTCAACCAAGCATATGGCTTGATGCGCTGGCAATTTGGAGCCCTTGGAAGTTTCGGTGGACCAAAACCTCCAGGGATGGCAAGGGCGATTGGTGCCGTGCCAGCTGTTGTAACAAAACCTGCCCTGGTTTTGCTTCATCTTCATAAAGCCGGCAAGGTCTAACTTTGGCCTGGCCGGATGTGCTTGGCCGAGGATAGGGTTAGATTGTTTGGAGTGAGCCCAAGGGCCAGCCCCCAACAGTCACCTCTTCTTGGACTACCTCTTACAAAGACTTTCATCCAAGGCATGTTGCGTTGCGAGGAGGGACAGTGCAGCCCAACTTCCACACTTGAACATGTGCCATTTTCGGGTATGAGGGTTTTCGGGCTACAGAGGCTGTTGGAGGGTTGTACTTGTCGTTGGTGTTCCCTTACTCCACTCCCTTCCCTCCTGTCCTCCAAAAAAGGAAGGCCTCACTTCCTGCTTAGATTTTGAGTTCTTGGACTTTGAATATAGTTGTTTGGACCATTTTAGTGGCACGCACACATCTTGGACTCTTTTGGCCAAGCCAACAGAAACATCACCACCCCTAAGAAGTTATGGAGGGGTTAAAACCCAATGCCTTGAAAGCCCATGTGTTTTCTTCTCCGCGCCTCTCGCCTGCGATCGCGTGCGCAACCCAAGACTCGAGAGCGCGAGAGCCAAACCGCGAAAGCGACCGAGGATGCCAGAGAACCCAGCGCAGGGCGCCTCAACACGTCGCCCTGTGCGCGGCTTCCGCGCGAATCCTGGCCCCTTTTAAACCTCTGAAAGGCCCTGATAGACCACTGATTTCAACCGGTGACATCCTCAAAACTATCCTTTAGAGGGTGGTTTACAAGGAAACCACCGAGCCCCAAGCGATGTTGAGAACTCAACACACATCATTGTGCTTAGTAACGTGTTTGCTTGTTTGCTTGCTTGCTTGCTTGCTTGCTTGCTTGCTTTCTTGTTTGCTTGCGTGTTTTGTTTGTTGGTTGCTTCAGTGCTTTCTTGCGGTTTCTGATTTGGCGGGCAGTTGTCCTTCGCCACCTAAATTGCGCCCCCCCCCCCCGCCCGAGCAACGGAACAGAATGACCAAGAGGTGATTTTGTGTCCTGCTTTCGGCGAGAGCTCATTCATGCTCACTGTACTTTGCGCAGTGCGGGCAAGGGCCCTGGCAGAGAACCAACCCCATCAGCCAGATGACCCGCATGCCCAGCAAGACCAGGCATCAGAGCACTAGAAGCCCCAAACTGCCCAATCAGGTTATCCCCATATGAATCAACCCCTGTTTATCAATTTGGGAAATATCCCTCGGTTTTTTCTGGTTGGAATCAGACCACAATAGAGGGGCCAAAGGCCACCCACCCCTCGCAGAGACTGGCCATAATGCCGACGTCCGAAGCCGAAGTCCGGATGCGAGTTGGACTTGAAACGAGTTGGGGCTTGGGTTGCCATGGCAACGCGGTTTGGACTTGCCAATGTTTTCACGAAGTGAGCTCAACGGATTCGCGCCGCGTGTTTGTTGCGTGTACGGCCTTTGTGGGGGTCTGCCTGAAAGAGGCGCGTTCTCAAGTGCAAGTGGACACAAGAGAAGCGAGTAGTTGCTTGTGACCAGGTGCCCGGAACATTGGCTAGTGTCAATTAAGCATTATGCCCCCGGAGCCTAGCCCTTAGCCTTAAAACCTAAACCCTGGGGCCCTTAATTTTGTTTGAATGGAGATTACCCTGGAGCCCTTAACCCTGAAACCTAAACCCTGGGCCCCTTAACCCTAAAACCTAAACCCAGAACGTCACATGGTGAGTCTGGTGAGTTGACCCTGCCACCGGGCAACTGGGGCCAAAACCGAGAAGGTCCCGCAGAGCTTCAAGGGCTTGGATCAGGACGGGCTTCGGCAGAACGTCCTCGAGGGCAGCCCCACTCCCCAATAGGGCCCAAAAGTGGCTTCGGGGAAAAGGGGAGGGAGGGGGGCCTGACAGGTGTAAAAAATGGAGGAAAACAGCTTGCAATGGTTTGTTTTACAAACGCGAAAATCGTGAAATGTGCGGGTTTGCAACTGATGAGGGACCATGTGATCGCCCCCGTGCTACCATGTGGAAACCGGCCTTGTGCGTGTGGGAGGTGTGGGGAGTCTTGTCCTGTGACAGGCGTTTGGGCAATTCACGGTGTTGGTATTGGATTCGATTCATGTTTCAAAGGTTGGAAGCAATACAGATGTGTGCTGCGTTTGGCTCCCTGGGTCCCTACCTGCTATATTGATGAAATGAGCCGAAGCCCGTTACTCAGTCTGTTACTTGAAGTAAACGTAACTAAACGTTGAATTTGTTCGGTAGGTGTATTTATCAGCTGCATGAAGGTCAAACAAGCTTGGCCCACTTCGAGATGTGGCACGCCCGACCTTCGTTTCAAACCCTCGCAAGGTCAAACAAAAATTTTCATTCTGGCAAGTGAGTGGAAAGGGTCAACTTAGGTGTCCCTTCTGGACCCTTGGCTGAAAACTGATGGTTTTTAGCAGGTTTCAGCTTTGTTCCATGATTCACAGGTGTTGCCCACGTGTCCCTAGATGACACCCACCCCCCAAACGCGGCAAGGGCCCCTCAGAGGGGCCGAGCGCGCAGCTTTGGGCTCGCGAGTTTTGACGACGGGAGCGCGGGCGGCCGGGCGGCCGGGTCGATGGCCGGCATACTCTTCCCGGCGAATGAGAAAGGGGACAGGAGCTGGAGGGAGGGAGGGGGGAGGGAAGCACTCCATGAATCAAAGGGCCTGAGCCAAAGAATCCATAGAGCGAGGGGTTGAGAACACATCCAGAACATGCGTGGCATAAGCACTGTCGCTTGTTCAAATTTTGGGAGGGCAACCAGGGGAGTGGGTGGATGCCCCAACTCCTGTCAGGGGAACGCAGTACAACCCACACATTTATATTGCAACCTCCCAGGGCTTTGTGGTTGGATGTGGTTGCTCCACTTGCTTTAGATATCCCTGGTGCGCCTGGACGGCGGTCAAGCCCACCCCTGTGTTTGACATAGCCTTCAATCGGTTTCATGGAAACCTAGCCACAAGGCCACTAATGGAACAGCGCTCTGTTGATTGGAGGTTTTTGGAAGACCCATTTACTCAAAAGGTTCAGGCAGTTTTCATGGTGGAAGGGTAGGTGCCAAGGGGTTGACCTTTTTCCAGGCTTAGATCAGGTCCAGGCAAGAAGCAGCCAGCCCTCGGGATGCTCTGGACTGGCATGTCCTCTCAGTTGAGGTCAACTCTTATGCACTCGTGGCACTGTGCTGTCCGAAATCGCAGGGAGGATGGCAGCCGCCAGCCAAAACCCACTGGGAATGTTGACCGACTTCCCGGCTCCAGGGAAGCACAGTGTCGGCTTGAAGCAGGCCTTTTTTGTGGGAGATAACAGGAGGCTTACCCAAGAGAGGGGCTTCAACGTGAGGGCTCGACTCGCCTATCGGCCTTCCCCGGATGCTTAATTAAACGGCATCCCCTTCTCGGATTTGGCGAATGGCCTGCTGGTTTGTTACCCCCAGAGCCGCTAGGGAGTGGCGAGCAGTTAGAAATCGATGGGTCCATTGGTTTAGATTGGTTGCATTCCACTTACCAGGAACACATACTTTTCCAACAGGTCACCAGTGCTTTCAGTGCATGTTCTGGTAGGGGTTTAGAAGGTATTGACCCTGAGAAGCACCACCTGTGCGACCTCCCTGCCTCCAAATTCATTCCAATTGCTTAATCCATACTTGTCTATTTTTCCCTGTTGGTTTTAAAGGGAACCTATCACTACTGGAAATATATATGTGTGTGTGTATTTTGTCCAGTGGGCTAACGCACATCAACCGCCAGGTCCACCACCTCCTTCAACAAGGCGGTGTACTGCGCTATGGCTGCCGCCCTGTCCCGGAAGGATCCAAAGCAAACCGAGCACACGCGAGCGTTTGCGAGCGCTTGCAGTTTTCCGGGGAATACTTGCCTCCCGAGGAACATGTTGCCGGACGCGGAGGGATTTGTTTTTGGGGGACCAGCTTTTTGGGTTCCCTGCCTTTGGAACGCCCCCTTAAAATGCGGGAATTCCTAGCGGGTTCCCTTTGAACCCGCACTCAACAAGAGGCAAACCCATTTAGCAACATCACAGCCCGGTGTTTCGAGTGCCACCTTGTTGGGTTCTGAACGAAATCGGGGCAAAACGATGCTGAAGCCACACGCCAGGACCTAGACGATCGGATCAAGTCTGAGAAGGATTGGAGACACCAGCGCCTTGATACGACCCTTATAAGGCATTTCTTGGGGAGATGGACGGGAAGGGGGGCGGGTTAGCAAGCGGGTTGGGCTTGATCCTATGACGTCACCGGCAGGCATTCTGCACGTTGGTTTCGCTGCGCTACTATTCATGCACGTTTCTCACATTCGCAGTTCGGATTGGTCCGGATGCCATGATGAGACGATTCACCAGAAACAATATGGCGGAAGAAGAGCCCACAGCCAACACTGGAAAAAGCAGGATTAGTGCCAGATCGACAAATCACGGGCCAATGATCTAAGCGGGTGTATTTTTTGAGGGTACCCTTTTAAGAGTTGGTTTAAGGGGAAACCAAAAGGAAACCAACCCATTTTTGTTGTGCCCCTCTAAGAAAAGACACGCCCATGCCAAGTGTTTCCACTTTAGCATCATCACCAAGATGGCACGGTCATGAGAGCCAAGGTATCATGATCATTGTGATTGTTGCTTGCACTTTATCATTGTTTAACGGTTTGGCATACTGATGCGCTCACTGACCCTTCCCTTGCGCCCCACGCAAGGTGCCGTGAGTCCAGTGTTTTGTGGTGCTATATGGGTATGGGTCAAAATGAACCCACCAGGGGACCGCAGGTTTTAGTCTTTGGTTCCATTTATCAGTGCAACCCAGTTTGGGTACGCATGTTTGACCCACAGCCATATGTGATCCGCTGCACGTGGTTAGTGATTTGTCTCAGTTGTTCAGTGGCACCAATTATTTTCCCTTTTTTAATTGGTTGCCCCACTAAAGATGGTCCAAGCCCCAAAAAGGGTTCCCTTCTTTCTCCAGGGTCACTGAACAACTGAGTTGTGTTCGTATTCGTTGTTTACTTCAGTGTTTTCGCTCCAGCTCCTGCGCCTGATGTTGTTCACATTTGCAACAAACTTGTGGAGCGAACCCTGAGCCTAGATGATCGGAGCTTTCCATGGATCTCTTGGTGCATGTGGGGAAGTTCTCAGATACGTGTTGGGATGGTAAGGCGGAAGGTGGCCTTAGATGGGAGTACCTCAATGGTACCACGCCCTTCGGCTTGCCAGTGAGATTCGTAGAGGAATAGCCCATAGACAGGAAAACTATACCAAGAAATCCATATGCGCTGAATCAATATTGAGTTTTTTTCCCGGACCCCTATTTAGCACCCAGGTGGTCGTCGTTCTGAGGTATAGTACTCACCTGGACCAGCTAGTTGAAAGCCTTTTCGCCGTCAAGGACGTCTTGAGCTGAGAGCGGAGAGCGTTGTTTCAGTCCCTACCTAGAGTCTCCATGACCCCAAGATCTCCATGACCCTTTCAAAACCCCTTTCCTTTTTGGGTAATGACCAACCATTTTTAAAGGGTCATGGAGAGTCCAGGTATACATCCCCTTGTGGCGGTTTGGAAGTATCACCTTTTGGGTGAATCTAAAGTCGAGTTTCCTTTTGCTTATCGAGAAGGAAAGACAGGGAACCGTGAGCCGCGTCAAAGATTGCTCTGAGCCTTCAAACGCAGCCAGGGCATCATGCTGTCCTTTCACTTCCATTCCCCAACATCAGTGATTGGGTAGAACATTGGTAACAGGGGTCGTTTTGATGTTCTTTGTCTGGGGGTCAATGTTTAACCCTCGGGTTGAATGGGCCAACACTGTTACATGACACACGCAGGGCTCCTAGTAGTGTCTAGTGTTTGCGTTCTTTCTTGCGATCCATTCCGCCTGCGTAACAACACTGTCCCAGCCGTGTAACATAAATCATTTGCCCAACAACGACGCGGTGAACACGCACCCTTTGCTTGGCAGCATTGGTCGGCTGCATGCCGTCTTGCTTGTGATGGCCATTTGCTATCTTTCTCCAACCTGAGGGGAAGTATTGACATGCATCAAAAGCTCCCATTCTGAGTGTCACTGTTCCTAGGTTTGTGTTGCCTCGACAAAAAATCGAGTACCAGCTAGCAGAATAATGTAACTTAATGTGCAGCTCATCTTGCTGTTCTATTTTGGAACCAGCCACCTTTTTGTTATCCCTATGTGCCAGGATGTGTCATTGCTGCAGCGGGTGCTTCACACAGGATTGGAGAAAGCCGCCTGGTTTGAAGATGCGAGTCCACTGACGCGCCATTTGGCGGGCTCAAATGTCAGGTGCCTGCCCAGGTTGGCAGCCGCGTAACGTTGGGAGTGTCGGCCAAATGTTTGGGTTCCCTTGCAGGGCGCAAGGATTGGCGGCAGAGCTCGGGTTTCCCGATATTTCCCTGCTACCAAGCAAGTTGGGCTTTGGTTCCAACAGCGGGTTGTTTTTGAAAGGCACTGTTTTGTTTCAAGCCGCCTCAAAGATGCTGTAAAGAGCTCGTTGATTCTTTCAAGTCCCCACCACCTTTTTCACCTTTTGGAAATGATGAACGTCTCCCCGCGGTCCCACCGAGAACCAGCGGGGCTTGCTTTTGGACCCTTAAGTTCGAGGCAAATATTAAAGAGGGCAAGTGAAAGGGTCGAACACATTTTTGAGGGGTCCGATTTGCAAAACAGCACGGGGTTTCATGTTTATATTCCGTACTAAGAAGCGAGCCAAAATGCAAGCAACAGAAGCCCTTGAGCCCTTAGGAGGTTGTCATGCGGGTAGCCTATAGAGTTACGTAGGTCCGGCAGGAATCGACAGGCGGCTATTAAACCCAAGTTGCGGTCAATCAACCCTCCTGCAAACCGAAGCTTTCTTAAGTAGGATTGGCCATCTAAGATCATCTAAGTAGGGGTAAGCTGTTTGTTGCAAGCGTGTTTAAGAGTAGGGTTAGAAGAGCCTTTGGACGCTTGAATTGGCATGACGTGCCTCCCGCCCGAACGCAACCTGTCGGGGGCACAGCGGGCACGCCCAGGTGAGAGGTATGGAGTTCGAATCCAGCGATGGCAAGATCCTGCCCTTGAGCCAGGCTGTGGCTGCTCCCACCTCGCCCCGTGGATAAAGTCCGTGGCGTTTTGGGCATCGTGATGGCGTGGCGTTTGTTTGGGGAACACCGCAAATTGAGGGTGTTCCAGGGTAGGCCTCGAAAACTATACACCCATATGAGGGTTTCCTCTTGGTCCTTTTTGGTGTGAGAACTTCTGAGACCAATTTCAAGCGAGTTGCCTTTTTGGGGTGCTCTTTGACGGGAGAAAAAGGGAGCTTCTCTTGGCTCACTTTACTACACTTCAAAACGCTCACATGGAAACCACACAAATGCACCGTGTTTACTGCAGTCCCCCTTTTCGATTTTGTTTGTTCCTTTGCAGATTGGGGTTCCTATATTTATCCGCAAGGGGGAACCCAGGAAGGTTACCTCAGGGCTTTGGTTTGCGATGCTGTGATGTTTCATAGGAAGCAATCCCCACGAAAACTCACACGCACAAAGGGTCAGCTATTAACATTCACGCACACATGAAATTCATTGTTTCTTCCAGTTCACCCAGATGTGTTGTTCTTTGGCAGGAAAGTCTCGCTTGCCCACGAAACGAATCCTTTGAACCTGCTTCGTCGGTCTCCTTCACAATTCTTCCTTGCATTTCCATGTCCTTTTGGCAATAGGGGGGTGTCCATCCCCTACCTATGTTTAAAAGTTTGGGGATGTGCAAGAAGAATCAGCAGACCATTGACTACACGCCGGGGTGCGTTCCCCCCCCCCCTCAACCCCAGCCAACCAAACGGTCCACGCCAAATTGTGGCGACTGGCAGCGTGTTTGGCGGAGTGCAAGCTATGGCATTCCGAGGAAATACCAGACGATCAAGGCCGCATGGGCGATCGCTGCCAGCACTTTTACTTGGCCGGCTAAGTTGGTTCGCTTTGACATGCTAGGGGCTTTCACGCATTCGCAGGGCTTGCGGGGTTCCGAGAGTTGCAAGGATCTAGGGCTTACAACGACTTACGGGGGAGAGAGGAGGTTGCGTTGCCAGATCCCTCATTGACTTGCGTAGGCAATCCACTGAGCCTGTCTGCGGTTGGGCCTTTGAGCAACTTCCTTATCCTTTGAATGTGACCATGGCGTCGAAGCAAGCTTGCCGCAACCCGGGGTCCAGGGTTCAACACGCACTTCAACGCTTGCTGGGAGGGTCGCTCGCACTGCGGGGAATCCACCGAACCTTCCTAGTGGAACTGGTGCAGAGCAGTCGGCTTCGAGCCAGCTTCGATTCGGACAGGTCCACGGCACCGGGACGCCGAAAACCTCCTTCGAGCTGCCCTACAAGGGCCCTTCGGATTTGTCCGTGGATGGGTGTCGAGCAAACAGAGGGGCAAAAAGAACGTTTGATGACTTATATAGTCTTTTAGTTGGGGTTGCCTTGTTTCAATTGTTTTGTTCTACCATACCAAGGGTTGGAAAAGCATTCTCAGTGGAAGAAAAAAAAGTTCCACCCCGGAAGTGAGCGTTCCGCCCAGGCAGTGAGCCGCCCCGGACGTTTTTGGGCCAATCCACCCAAGCCTCCCGCACCCCGGAAGCCCCGGGCGAACGGAGGTCAGAAGCTCACGGGCTCCGCGCTGGAGGCCCAGTGCGCCTGCGCCCCAGGCCTCAACCCGGGCGACTGAGCGGTGGTCTCTACCGCTGGCTTGGATCTTTAGACTTCAACTTTTTGGGTTCCCTTCATATTTCACTTTTCAGCAAAAAGTTAAACTTTTTGCTTGGGGATCTACAGCACCCAAGTGTTGAAGCGGGGCTTACAGCAAGCCCAAAATGGATCGTTATGTTTGCAGATTATGGATTGAGGTTATTAAAGCCTACAAGCCTTGACCATGGCCCCGGCAAAAGTTGGGTTTCGAGCAGTGCTCAGATGGGTTTGTGAGGTTGGGGCAAGGTATCCTGATTTGCTCAGTTTGTTTCACAACAACAAGGGTGGACGGGACGGAACCCCAACTCCCGTAATGTTGACCATGCCTCACACGCTAACAGCGGGAGAGCAAACAATGATGGACTTCCCCGTGGCTTAGCTTCCATCCAAGCGAAAAGGAAACCGTAAGAAGCACACATCCCCAGATGGCTGCAATGGGTTTGATGTTACATCAAACCTCGTGATCACGTGGAGCCTGGGAGCCTGATGAAAGGAGTTACTTGTTGGGTTTCTTCATGGGTTGAAGCAGCTGTTAGCAATTTGAGACTGGCACTTTCTGTGGTTTTGTGTGGCCTTCGGGGTTCATTTACCCCGAAGCATGAGTGCTTGGGGGGATCCGGGTTACTGCCCAAAAAGCCAGGCGCTGAGGAAAGTGAAGAAGCGTCTTCTCCCTTTTGCGGTTTGGCGGTTAGGGGCGTTAGTGGGTGGTTTCACATTTACCCTCTACAAACATCAAGGATTGAATTCTCCAAACCACCAATCCAACAGCACCAGGCATCAACAAACCGCACCGGCAAGTCAGTGAGCGTCAGCCATTGTAGAATTAGTAGCCACGCTTCAGCCAAATGCAATTAGACTTTACATCCGTTCCATCACTGTCTCACTTGTAGGATTGACATCCACTCAACTTTCTGAAGCAAATGGGACCTCAGCACAGAGTATGGGTCCAAGCCTGACTTTTTGCAACTATGCCTTACATGCGTCTTTCTTGAGGGTACCCTTTTCATGTGTTTAAAGCAGGGTAGACGGAGAACCCCAAGGAATCGGCTCTCAACCTTCCCCGATGGTACCTACTATACTGCCAGGAACCTGAAGGAACCCTAAGCAAACCCTAAGCAAACCCTAAACAAACCCCAAGAAAACCCTAAGGAACCCTACGGACCCCTAAACCTTAGGGTTCCTTAAGACAAACCCCAAGGAAGCCTAAGGAACCTTAAGGACCCCTAAGGAACTCGCAACCCACCTTCCCCCCTTGGTACCTACCCCGCCTAGGGACGGAATACGCGCTTAGGACCAGTGGAGCAATGGGCCCATGGAGCCGGACGCGGCTTCGGCCATCAAAAGCGGGTCCCAGCAGCTGGCGGCGCTGCAGGGCCGGACCTTCTTGGTGCACCTCGGCCTTAGGGTTCCTTTGTTGTTTGTTTAGGGTTTGTTTAGGGTTTCTTACATTTGCTTGGGGTTCCTTGGGGTTCCTTAGGGTTCCTTCGGGTTGCTTAGGGGGCTTCCTTGAGGGGGGTATAGTAGGTGCCATCGGGGAAGGTGGGTAGTTGAGAGCCAATTCCTTGGCTGAGTCGAGCCGTCGCGGTGTTCTTCGGGTGGAAATTTGGGTGTGGCCCAAAATTAAACAGGAGGGGCTACGTAGGTTTTGGTCCATGTTTCCACTTACCAGGGCAAGCCATTTTGGAATTCCGGTTTTTGGAGCCACGGCCAAATGGGCGGCCCACAGCGGTCCCCTTGCCCGGAAAGGATGGGACGCAAACAAAACTGGGGGTCCTCGGTCAGGGTCACGGGATTTCCAAGCAGAAGTGAATGAATTTTACCGGTGGTGTCCGTGGAAACTGGAGGTCGCCCTGCCATTTGCCCAAAGCGCTTCAGGGAACCCGTCAGGTTGGTGGCTTGGAGCCTGCTTTGAACCCCGGGCTTTTGTAGAAGGTAAATGAGAACCACCCCAAACCACCAAACCAATCCAATCCAAGCCAACAATGAGGGGCTGCCTGGTCGACCGGAAGTATTTTTGGACCCGGGCAAGAGAGCCGGAACTTGGTGTCTAGAATTAGTGGGTTGGAAGTTAGGTGTCTTCCCAATCCACACCAAGGGAATGTGATGAAGGGGAAGGTATGGTGCCGGAGTCTTGCAAGCCCAACAGCCACATGTAGGCTGCGAACGACTCCATTTGTGCATACTGCATAGCCATCTGATTTGGTTTCCGGAGCCTCTGAGCTTCGAGATCCAGCCCAGGCTGGGAGTTGCATATAGCAGAGGAGTTCCTTGGAAATCCAAGGGGTCCACGGATCCAAAGTGAAACTCGCCAAAAGTCGTGATGTAGGTTCTTCACTTGGATTCCCTTGTTTCAATATGTGGCCCAACATCTTGAGGGGGTATCACGATTGCTTTTGGCACCCGGTGACTTGAGTTTAAACCATAGAGAGGCAAACTGTGAGGATGTCACGCCAAGCTGGAGTATTTCGAGCCTGCTAAAACCCGACCAATCGAAACCCTAAAGGCCTCAACAAATTCGAGTCGCTAGAACCCACAAGGAAGTTCCCGCCATGATAACCTGCGGAATATCAAACACCTTGTCTGCGAAGCTATACTTCCAAAAACTGAATGAAGGGATCCTCAAGTTCTGGACCTGTATCATGGTGAGCTCGCTATACCCCCAGGTGAGCTCCCCATAGGCAAACCTTGGATTGCTTGAAGCTTTCATGGTTCAACAGGCGGTTGGCCCGGAGAAAAAAAGCTCCGTGAGGCTGGGCGCCAACTCGGAGCTGGGCCCATTGCGACCGCTCTTGGAGGCGAGTCCGCAGCTCGGAGGTTTGGATTCAAAAAAAATTCAACGAGACCTGGTCTCCGTAAGAGTAAGCCCCGTTGTGAGGAAACCCCATGAGTACCATGGGCTTGTGAGTAACCCATCCAGTCGGAGGTTCTTGTGAATGGGGTTTCCTTCGTAAAAATCCAAACCAGCTAGAGGGAAGCTGATTGGTGGCTTAACCCGTAGAATGTACGCGAGAGGACCTGCCTTTGGTTATCCACGTCCTCGATTTTTCTGGGGGCGAGGACAAATTGGTCCCATCCGTAGTGCTGTCCCCAATGCACATTGCAGATCCTCGATTCAAAAAGCCGGCCCAGGATGTAGCCGTCGGCTGCAGGTCAGCGTCAGGAATGGAGGGGCCTAGCACTTTGCCTGATTTTTGTCCGAATGAAGCATCAGCCCCTCACTTGCCTAACAGATGGTATCAAATTTGTGTCCGCACCAACTATGGGCAAAGCGCCAAGGGATTTGGATTCCTCCGGCTTCGGGCAGGCCTTCCGTTGGGCAGGCTTGCTTCTCGCTTCTTTGTGATATCAGCCAGCTCAACCGACGAGCTGACCCATGAATCCCTGCTCGTTGGCTTCCTGTTGGGTGGTAAAAGCCGCTGGGGTAGACTTAGGATACATTTTGCCATTTTAGTGACTCAAAGTGACGCAAACAATAAAATATAACTTCTACAACTGGGCCTAACTCCAATCATGGCCAGTAGTTTTTGCGGATCCTTTTGCGCTGGTTTGCCAAAAGGCGGTTTTTGGCAATGCCTCGGGAAGCCGGAAGCCGGCCACTCCTTCCATGCCGACACGTATGTGCGAGCCTGTTGTTGACCTTTTGCAGCTTTTTTTCCTGGGTTTTCAGCATGCCCAGCTGCGGGTTGCTCGGGAGTTTCACCCAAGATCAACTGACACTTTTGGAATCGGCTTCGTCAATTCGCAGTGACCTCTGCCAGGTTTGCACCTCCCCCTTTGTCACCACCAGTTTTGTTGGGCACACAGGGTACCCCGAAGAAGGGGAACCATTGATATATATATATATATATATAAGTGCCCATTGCCATGTCAAGGGCACTTCCAGATGCTTTTTTGGAGCTATGGTTACATACCGCCTTACATAAGTGGTATAACCTCCATGCCTCCAACACCCTACCTCAAGATGAACTAGATTATAAGCCGGATATACGTGCATGAACAATGAATATATATATATATATATTATGTATATATATATATATATTGGATGATGTTCCCATGTGTATAGTGTGGCGGTATGTTTGGGGCATGTCCTTCAGAGGCACCCAGTTGTTCACCTTCAATGCAGAGGATGCCCTCAGCCAAAATCCGACTGTCTGATAGTATTTCCACTACCACTGGCTTCTCATGCAAGCTTCCTTATATGACCACTGAAAAGCATCACTCCGGCACAAGGAGCACAATTCAAACCCAAACAGCCGTTGCTGGTCTTGGTATGACCCCAAAGGCCACCAAGGACCTTTTGAGCCGTTTGTCCATTACTCCCCTGCAAAATCACATGGAGCCCAAAAAGGCGGTCCACCAATCAACGGAGGATCCAGGTACCGTTTTGAGGTTCCATGTAAATTTGTAGGAGTGTAATCCTACAAAAGGCGATCGACCTTTTGCTCGGGGTCTGGGAAAGGGGCTGGCTTGGACTCGCCCTAGAAAACGGTTTGAATGCTCTCGTTGTGCATTTCAGCATATTTCCTCCCTGTTTCTCCCTGTTTAGGAACATCTTTTCGTACTCTTCTAATATCCCACCAAAAACCCCAGCCCCAACCCCGTCCCCCGGTCCACCACCAAACCCGGAGCAGCTCCAAAAAATCGCGACCTCGAGCCCTCGAGAGGCGGGCGCCACCGTGGCCGCGGTGGCCACCAAACGCCCCAAGCGCTGGAAGGAGCTGCTGGCCTTCGCCCGGCAATCCGCGGGCACGTGGCGTGGCTGGAGAGCCTGAGAGGCCTAAGGCGTGGCCGAGAAGAGCCCCGGGTCTGAGTCTCCATCCATGGCCCTTTAAAATGTGTTGTTTTTCTCCAACAGAACGGGGGGACCCCATTTTTGAAGGGCTGGTTTGCTGTGTTTGTTCGTTTGTTTGCCTGCCGGCCTGCCTGTTGAAGCGTTTGCTTGTCTGTCTGATGTTGCAACCTGGTAGTAGGGAAGGTTATGGGAAAGAGTCGGAAGAGTCAGAATGACTACAGAATGCTCCCCCAGCTAGGTGGGGTGCCCTTTCTCACCCCTTTTTTTGGTTGGGAGATTCGGTTCCCCGTGTCTAAAATGGACTACAGATAAAAAGTGGGTACCAACTTATTCTAACCTCTCCACCGGAGCACCTAGCACGCTTGAATGGACTTTGGACTGGGAAACCATGGGAACAAGATGACAAGATGCCCCTGCACCACTTGGAAACCATGGTGGAAACCATGGTTGAAACCATAAGGTGTTGGTATTACGTCGGGGAATCATCGAGTTCAAGGGTTTCTGAACGGCGCGAGATGGATTTCGCAACCATCCTCCAGTAGATTCCATGGCGACACCAAAGGAAGAGCAAAAGACAAGCCAAAGAGGATTCAAGAGTAAAGGGAAGAAGGGGAACCAAAGTTCTTAGACATCTTTTGTTTTGCGCCAGATTAAAGCGAGTGTCCTTGCCGGCGTGGAGGCTTAGTGCAGGTTAGCATCCAGGTTTTGAATAAATTTGTTGAGTTTGCAGGTTTAAACAGGTTCTCGAGCTTTTTGGTAGCGTATTCACTGCCCGGCAAAGACTTATCCAAAAGTGTTGGTCTGGGGAGATTTCCCAGTTGCTCAGATTCCACCCTTTGCGAGGTCTTTGGGTGGGGTCCTGGAATAGAGGGTTGGGTCCACAAAAAAAATGACCCGAACAAGTTTTCTCACTAGTTCCAGTTCTGAAAACGAGCCAAGCGGGCAAAATGCTATGCCGAAGATATCCCAACAGGATCGGGGATGATCCGGGCATTGAGATCCAGGTCTCTTGAAGGGGCGACCAAAGCCGCGTCAAAACGCGAGCCCCAGCTCCAACTTGTTGAAGTTGCAAGGAAACCATTGTTCTCCCTTCCCCAGAATTAGCTCCCCTTTTTGTGTGTGTGTGTTTTTTTTTTTTTTCCGGGTCCCTTTGTTTTCCACCAACCAGGCACACAAGATCATTTTTTGCTGGGGTCCTACTTCCAGCCCACACACGTATAACCCCAAAAATGACTTCGCTGAAATATCTCCGGGCCCCTTATTCTGGGCTGTGTAAAGGTAGTCCTTAATCCTTACCTTGGGGTTACGCAAGGAACCAGGCCCCTTTGTAGTAGGCTTCCCTATAGGGATTATGGAACATCGGATTGGCCAACCCTCCATTTGGAACAGCCCAGTTCGCCGCTGGCTTTCGGCTGGCCTCTGAGGCTACTGGTGCCATGCCCTGCCGGCCAAGAGGTGAACAACGACGAGGCGACGGAAATCGATGGATCGCCCGCGCAACGTTGGTTTGGGTTCGCCATGGAACGATATCTTCCATTTGCTGAAAGGAATATGTTTTATTTTCCCCTGTTGGTTTTGAAGGGAATCTATCACTACTGGAAGTTTTCTTTAAAAAAAATCCCAGGGGTCTAAACCAAATGGAAGATACCCTCCCAAAAAACAGGCTTTGAACCTGCACCTCTGAGTTCCTGGAGGACCATATCCCTCTCTTTTTCATGGGGGCCTGTGTAGATTCCTGGTTTGTTTTTGGGAGGGTACCACAAATTTCCAGTGTCCTAAAAGCGTCCGCGCACCGTGAGCCCAAGCGCGCGAGAGACGGGACATGGAAATAGAAGCTATCTGTGAGTGGGATCTAAAGACAACCCCAATTTCAGGGGCATTCAGGTATACAAGCTTCACTGTTCTTGGCACGTTTCTTTTTTCACGTTTTTTGTTTTTTAGTTGTTTGGTTCTGTTCATTTTTACTGGGGGTCTGCAAAAAACAAAGTTTTTCGCTACCATACCAGGAGATGCAAGTATACCCTTGATGGTTGTGGATGATTGTGACTATGCAGTGGCTGTACAGCTGAGGTTTGGGGGTGAGTGGAAACCGTTTGAGATGGGAGCACCTCAAAGTCTGATGTTGAATGACCCCCCCAAACAGTGCCAGCAGTCATTTGGAGACCCTGCGACTTGGACTGGCCAATACTTAGTTTAGAACTGCCAAGTCTAATTGTAGGATTGCCACTGCTAAATCTCGGGTTTCCAGACCTCAGAGAAACCACACTTTTAAGAGCCTACGCTTTGAGGCTTTGATCTAAACAAAATGCCCCCACACAAAAGAACACCTGCCATTAAAGAAGACCCCAACACAGTCAGATTAAAGCACCTCAGGGGCTCTTGTGGGCTACCCCCTTTGTGTGACTGTGTTGGCTTGCTTTTGTTTAAGGGAGTTGTATGTTTAAAACTGAGGAACTCCTGAGTCTAAGGCCTTTAGCAATGAAAGGCTGAGATATGGATTTCGAAAACAAACACGTTCCATGCCATAGTAGCGAACCCCCAAGCAGTCCCAGGATTCTGAATTAGCAAAATAGCTTCTACAATAGCGACCTCAATGACTAAACGGGGTCCAACATTACTTCGGTTCAAAAAGCCAAAACCATGTGAATGACTCACTTTAAAGTCCCTTTAGTCACTTTAAAGCCACTTTAAAGTCACTTTATTAAGTCATTCTAGTCGCTTTAAAATCATGTATGTCACTTTAAAGTCACTTTGGGCACTTTCAAGTCATTTTTAGTCGTGTTTTTTTTGCGGAATTCGGATGAGCGGTTTGTTGGCGGGTGCGGGATTTCTCGCGTCAACCGCTCCCCGGGACCTCGCCCAGGACCTGGCCGCGGTGGCCGGCGCTGACCTCGTCTCTGAGACCCCGCAGGTGGTGGAGTGGCTGCTGCGCTGCGGCCGCGCCGCGGATGGCCAGGCGCGGCGGGTGCCACGAGAAGCCGGAGGAAGTCGAAGGAACCAGGCCCCCCGCCGTCACAACCAAGAAAATCTATGACTACTGGACATGTCTGTTTTTTTGTTTTTTGGTCCAGGGGTCGAAAAACCAAATAGAAGCGGATATCCCCAGTAGCGCCCTTTCTCATATTTTTTTCGTCCAGGGGTCGAACAACCAAATAGAAGCGGATATGCCCAGTAGCGCCCTTTCTCACTTTTTTTTCCCGGTTCGGAGGGTTCCCCTACCAAAATATGTTCCACAGAAAAAAGTTGGCACTCGTATTCTAACCTCTCCACTAGAGGACCTATAGGGAAACCAACGCCAGTCCTTTCCAGGTATGTCGCGATAGCATACCAGGTTTTCTGGATGATGGATGGTTTTGTTAGGCAACCAGGTATTCTTACCTCCAGGTGTTATATGATGAGTTGGTATTTTTGAACCAATCTCTAGGTTTGTTTACCTCCAGGTTTTACGTGATGAGTTGGTAATATTGAACCAATCTGGATTTTTAGCCTCTTCGTTTTACATGATGGGCTCATTTGTTACCTCTGGGTTTTACATGATGGGCCAATGATGGGGTTTGCTGGTTACCTATTATAGTGAGAAGTGGAAGGACTGGGAAAGGCTGTTTGGTTCTTTGGCTTTGTTCTTTGTGCAGCAGGGGTTGAGACGCATGACGGTATGCTGGGGTCCAACGTTTGCTGGTGGGTGAGATGATGTTGGGTGTTCAGGCCGGCCGCCTGGGCTGTTCGAAAGTTGTTGGCTTATGTGTCATCCTTTGGCCTGTGATCGTTTTTGGTCAAGGCTGTGGCCCACGCATGGTGGTTGTTGGGAAACATTTCACATTTTTGCTTATTGTCGTTTACTGGGAATTTCCCACTTGCCTGCTATTTTTTGTTTTGCCTTCCAACGTCAACCAAGCACGTGCTGTGACCCAATCAGAACACTTAACTGCTACCCCTTCGCAGGAGGAGGAGAGGGGTGGCAGTCTTTCGTGGTGGGGGGCGAGGGTTGGTTCGTAGGGTCCGTTGCACTTCGGGTGGTTTATTCCTTGACTCGACGTGGCCCGTTGAGAAACAAGGCGAAAACAATCAATGCCCGAAATCGACAAAACCACTGCCCAGACGTGACCCTAACAGAAATCATGGCTTGAAAAGCATGTTGGCTTATTGTATCCAGATCTCTTATGTACAATGGGTGCCTCCCTTGGAGGGGATGCCCCGCATGAACAAAGGGCTTAGCATTGCCAGGGGTCGCCCACAGAGGTTTTCCAAGAAATCCAACCGCCGATGACCTCGGGCAGGTGACGCTTGGCACCTACCTCTACGCCGACGGCGAGGCAAATGCCGCTTGGCCGCATGAGTCTGGGAGGGTGTGCGTTGCATGGACCATGGGTTCAAACATTGGGGAAAACACCTTTAAGGATTGGATTTGAAAGGGATGCCGAAAGCAGAAAGCCACATTGAGCAAAGCCCAGTTCAGCCAAACTTCTTTTGGATCCAGCTCAAAGTGGGGACTAAACGGACAACACACTTTGTCGATGTTTGCTTTTGTGGGACACACGTTGTTCTCTTCAGGGAAGCCGAGCGGGAGTTGCATGCTTCTTTCGGCAGCTGATTTTGGCGAATCGGCCTGAGATAAAAGGAACGAAGGTTTTCCATCAGTTGACCACCCAGCCCAAGCATATTCGCATGCATTCGCGCATCGGCCCTTGTGCACTGAGATTGGGCGTCAGTTCTATCTCCAGGCGCAAGGGTCTATTATACAGGCGGTTTATCTGAGGCTTATCTTGTAGGTTGTTTGGTCCCGACAGCTTTGGCCTGCCTTGATTCTGTCGCAGCGGAGGTCCGACCCGCAAAAAACAACCAGAACTCTGAACAAGTTCCGCGCAGGGTGGCTCATCCCAGTTTGGTGGGTACATGTTGGTGCATTCGTTGGGCCACCGGGTTTCTCAGGAAGTTGGGGCACCTCCAGTGGCGTATGTTGGCCATTGGAAAAAGAACCCCTGCAAGGGGCGGGTTGGCTTGCATTTCTCAGCGTCCACTCAGCGTTGGGTTTGTCTCTGGGATGGTTTTAAAGGGGAGGGTATCCAAAGGCAACTTCACGTTTTCCAAGAGTTTGCATTTTGTGATAGCACCTGATTCCTATGCATGTTTGAGCAAATTGTTCTAAGCTGTGGTCTGCTTCAAGGTTGCGGAGCATCAGGTAGTTGTTTGCTTAGGGAATCGCCGTTAAAGTGATGAAGTAGTCGTGGGGATGGCCCAGTTTGCACCAGCACATCTAAGATGTCCTCTGAAGCTCCATCCAAGCGATGATTTGAGTTCAACCGAAACAAAGTCCTGCAACAAAAAACGGCTCTTCTTTCACCTCCCTTTCTTCCTCGTGCAATTTGCCCGTTCGAGCCGACCATTTCGTTTCCCGGTGCCGATCTGCTCGGCTCGATCGGTGCCGATCAGTACCGAGAGCGATAGGTACGGCTCACTGCCGCGTCGGACTACGCGGTGGAGGCGCTGAAGAGTTTGGGCAAGGAGAAGGTGAGCTTCGCGTACTTGGCAGCTGGAACGCAGCGCAGTCTGTGTCCCGAGTTGTTGCACTCTAGTCACTTGGTGTTGTCGACCATTTTAGTGGTAGACAAAAACATGTTACTTTTTTGTCCAACCCAGTATGGAAGTTAGGATATGGCAGCTTCTGAAGCACCCTGACAACTTCCATGCTTCTAGGGCTGGAGCTTTAGGCAAATCCCCAATGCCCAACCACTTCCTGTCGCCTCTAAAACCCAGCTGCGCTTTAGCCTTCATTGGCCTTCATTGGTCTGATTTGGCCTTGCCCCTTAAGAAGATTCACGCCCAGACTGAGAAGCGGCTTTTCAGGCATGCCTTGCAACCGGAAATCTTTGGGGCGGCTCACCCTTTAAACGCCCGGTCTATTGAACGAACAATGGTTGAATATGAGGAGGTCGTGTGTCGTGCCATAGAAAGGCAACACAAGGCTGAGATGCTCAGGCGAGTTGCTCCACTTCTCAGTCCATTCCTCAGGAGGCGCGATGCGATGCGCATGTTGGCTATGGATTTTAATGGGGAGCCACCTCAAGTGGGTGCTGGATATGAATCCGCACCTAAATGTCCCCCAAAGGCTCCCACATGAGTCATGTTGAATCATGCGTGGTGTGGTTTCAGGCCGATTTGAGCTTTACTTGGGGATGCCTTGATTCAGGTTTTTGGAAGGTCTAACGGCATGCAGGTACTTGTTTGGGCATGTTTTTGGGACCCCTTTTTTGGTTTTAAGGAAAACCAGCAGGACAACCAAAGCTATTTTTTGGTGGTGGGTCCCCAACAAGACAGCCATTTGTAGCTTCTCCCTCCCTCAATTTTAAACGCCCCTGGCCGGCCCTTGTACAACCCCTCTCCCCACTTCAGTGTAGGTCAGTAAGATCTGAAATCAACTCAAGGGAATCTCCAAGCCCTTTGGCATTTATATGGAATCCAGAAAGGGGCCCCGAAAAGGTTGTCTGAAGGGAGAACACGTGGGGGGTGGGGGGGTCATGTTAAAAGGGAAGCACGAGTTGGTTTTAATCAATCCAAGTTGGTTTCCCTTCATTGTGCTGGTGCTCAGTCGGGAGTGAGGGAATGAATCTGGGGGTCCCCTTAAAGGAAACCACAAGGGATGGTCCCTACGGAGCACCAGCAAGTCATTCTCCTGAAGCGATGGTTTGTTCCAGCAAGTCATTCTCCTGAAGCGATGGTTTGTTCGGTTCTATGTTCATTTGTGTTAACTCGCAGGAGTGTACCTCGGTGCCCCTGACAAACCTGTTGCATTCAAGGGTTGGCGGAGGCTGCTTTGGATCCCGTATGAAACGAAACGGGATGGTCTCTCATTCCGCAACCTGCAACCCATACATAAACCAATACATATGTATATATATATATATGTAGCATGTATACATACAAATTCATACCCATGCATATATATATATATACACACATTTTAAACATCCCAACATGTTGTTTCAATTTCTCGCTCTTATCTTAATGCCTTGAGGAAAGTGTCATCATGTTTCAGCAATTCAGCAGGCAGAAGAGCTTTGGGAAACTACCAGCAGAACGAACCTCCTGTCCACTTTATGACTGGCAGTTGTTTCGTCCCCTTGTGTGACGGTGTCTCTTTCTTTGGGTTTACCCCCTAGGGGTTGCTCTCGAAGGAAAGCTAGTTGGCACGGTCCCGGTTTCGGTTTCGGGGGTTGCGAAGAGAGACCCGTGCTTTCCGATTTCGCTTTGTCGGCGTTCGGGTTGCAGACACAGGCCGTGAAAGCTCAAGAGGTGAACTTTCAAGCGTCCGGTCAGTGGTCCAAGACTTTCGGCAAGCGAGCCTCGGCCGGTCACCGGGCGTCAGGAAGCCGGTCGATGGGAGCGTGGATGTTTGCGGGGTTGCTCAAATTGTTCCGGACAAAAATAGGACACACACACACACACCACTAATCAACCAGGGCTATTACATTCTGAATAAGTATATATTTGTTTGTTTCGTTATTCTGTTTGTTTGTTAAAGACAAATCCCATTTCTTTTCCGGCGTCGTTCATCCAATACACATTGGCAAAGGCAGCGAACCATAGGAGAGCTAGGGGCCTTACCCCTGACAGTCACTATGAGTTTCTAAAAATAATAGTCACTAGGCAATGTGAGCCCTTACGGCTTCTTGACTCAGTTTGTGAGTTCAGCGCCCTGAGTTCCATCGTGGAGCAGAGATCTGGGTCGGCGGAATCTTACAATTTGTCCTGTTCTCAACCGATGATAGAACAGATTCAAATCCGAGGGCTAGCCAACATTGACGAGGAGTTCTCGGATCTTCTCCGAAATTAGAAGACATGTTAAGCTTCACTAAGTATGGATTTGTCTTTGAGGCTCCTTTGAGGTACCCGTTTAAAGGAAAAGCCACAGGAATACCACACATTTTGGGGGGTCCCTATTTGGAGAAACCCATATGGCGCAGAATCAATCGTATGCTTGTGTTGGGGTCAAAGCTGATACACCTGTACGTTCGTTGCAAGAAACAACGCCTGACGGCCCGACTAAGGACAGGTCTGCACGCCACTGGATGGCTCGCGATGTTTTCTGCGAGCCTTTGAAGTCTTGCAGGGCCCCAACTATGCCTTGGCGCAACTCACACGCCACTTGGCACAGTTTAAGTTGGACCTCAGAACAACGTGGAACCTCTCAGAAGGCCTCTGTGAATGGAAACACGTCTTCCAACTGGGTCCTGGAAGGGAGGGTAGCTCTTGCCCTATTGCACAGATCTTGGTTGGCACGAGAAAATGCCCAAGATTCAAGATGCATAGAATGACCCGTTTTTGGGCATCCCTAACTCTCGACATGGGAGCCGCCAAACGTGGGTAAAAGTGGTGGGTTTGGTTTCGTTCTATCCAAACAACCCCACAAGAGGGCAGATTCTGTTGAGGTATCAAATTGTCAATGTCGGACACGGGGTTGTTGCCCTCTATCCAACCTAGCACTTGTAAGGTTTGGTTCTGGTACAGTGCGTCCAGTCCAAAAACCGCGCCCAACTGCCGCAACTGTCCGAGCTGAAATTCATCGCCTGTTCCATGTGAACCGAGCTTTGTTTGGGTCTGGGGAATGGACCCCCTCATTGGTTTATTTTTGTTTCCCATGAGCCTCTTGCCCTTGGTACTCTTAACGCAGGCTTCAGTGGAAAGTGTGTGCCCTTGAAGTGTCCTGCAATTCTGCAAGGATTTCCTGATGCTGTGGATGATTGGGAAATCCATTTCGCACCACCTAAGAAATCCCCCCTAGTTTCTGATGATTCCGCGGAAAATGCCAGCCACAAATGCTTTCAACCATGGTTTCAAAGTGGTCCTGGATTTCGTCCACCCACAGTATGTTCCAAGCATGTGTTGTATAATTGCAAGCTCAAGCTACGTATACATTTGCACCAATATGTACATACATATGCACACATGCATTTATGCATATACAGCTGAGTACTACACCATGGTTGCTACAAAAGGACTGGTTAGAGGCTCGCTTGAACACTGATGCACTGCCACATGTACAGGATGCACACATGGCATCCGCTTCGCTGGCGCATGATTTGATGTCTCACTCGCGGAGTTCCGGGAGTGCAAGTCGTTTTCTCGGGCTCATGTTCACTGTGGCGAAAGGTTTGGAGTCCGAGGACACCCGCAAGCGTCATGTGAGGTTCCAAGCTGATCTTCAATTTCATTAAGAGCATGTATTGCTTCCCGCTGTTGGTCTTAAGTTTTAAATAGAATCTGTTTGTCACCGCTGAACATATTTTCTCATCTTTTCCTGTGACTCTAAACAACAAACGGAGGGGTCCCATGGATTTGTCTTTTCCAAGGTCAGTGGCGGGCGGCCTTGCTGCACAGTGAGGGCTTCTTGGCACCTTGGCTGTCAGCCCGTTTGGCTGCGCACCGGCTGTGGGCAAGAACTGAGACGGGTATGGGTCAAAACTAAACCACCAGGGGACCGCAGATTTTAGTCCTGGGGCACCTATTTAATGGCCTGCGGCCTGGTTCCGCCGCCCCCACACACCTTAGAATTTCGGCCCGGGACGAGAGAAAGCACGCGATATGTAGACAGACACAGACAGACACAAAGACACACAGACAGACACGCGGGGGGGGGGGACACGAAGAAAGACGCAGATACGTAGACAGACACAGACAGACACAGACAGACACAAAGAGACAGAGACAGACACGCAAGGGGTCTTCGCGGACACGAAGACAGACGCAGACAGACCCAGACAGACACAAAGAGACACAGACAGACACGCAGGGGCAGGGGGGGTCTTCGCGGACACGAAGACAGATGCAGATACGTAGACAGACATAGACAGACACAGGGGGGGGCGGAGGGGTGGGGGAAGACTACCCGAAGCCTAGGGAAGAAGCCCGAAAGCACAGGACACGCGCGTTGTTTGGTCCCGAAACAGTATCGGAAGACTAGGAGAAGAAGCCGGAAGATTACGGAAGACTACGGGAAGAAGCCGAAAGATTGCGGAAATTTACGGGAAGAAGCTTGAAAGATTTCGGAAGACTACGGGGAACGGAAGACTACGGAAGACTACGGAAGACTACGGAAGACTACGGAAGACTACGGAAGGGAAGAAGCCGGAAGACTACGAAAGACTACTGGAAGAAGCCGAAAGATTACGGAAGATTACGGGAAGAAGGCGGAAGACCACGGAAGACTACGGGAAGAAGCCGGAAGACTACGGAAGACTACGGGAAGAAGCCGAAAGATTACGGAAGATTACTGGAAGAAGCCGGAAGCCTATGGAAGACTACGGGAAGAAGCCGGGGGGAGGGGGGGGGAGGGGGAGGGGGTGGGAGGGGGGGGAGGGGAGGGGGGGGGGGGGGATCCAGAATTCCAGTCCAGAATCCAGAAATCCAGAGATCCAGAAATCCAGAAATCCAGAAATCCAGAAATCCAGCTGACGTAGAAACCAGCCCCAAGGGCCGCCCCAAGGGACATATAGGTTATATATATATATATATATATATATCTACATAATCATATTCACATTAAACTTATGGAAAGCATATCAACAAAAGCAACACAGAACACACCGCCCCCATGCCGAAAGCATGGTCCATTCTGGACCAGGCATGGGGTCGGCGGATTTTCGACCCACAGCCAGATGCGAGGAATCGCGTGAGTAACCCTGGAAGCCCCAGTTACACCCCATGTTTTAACCTTTGCATTCGGGTTGTTATACAGTTCCTCTCAGACAGATGGACAAATCCCACTTCGCACCAGCTGCAGGAAGGTTCAAGGATGCCCCCTCCACATGGCTTCCCATGAAAGAGGTTCAACCCGCGGTTTCGCAATCAATTTAAGTTTGGGGGTGGGGTCGAAATCAATGTGGGGCAGATGGAATGGTGAGTTGCAATAGAATTCGGACAAAGTCAGGCTTTCCCCTGTTTTTGTTTCTCCTTTTTCTTTCTGGTGTCCCTGCATGTTCTCCGTTGTTTGCCTGGTTTCCTTTGTTTTCACCTGGTTTTTCCCTGGTTGTTTTCCTTGGCGGTTCGTCCGGTTTCTTTTTCGGTGGTCGCACGAAGCCCAGCCCAGGTCTCCTCGCCCCTGGCGCCCATGTGCCGCACCGAGAGCGTGGTGCACAACCCCACCATGGCCGTGGTGCTCGAGGGCGTGGCGCCGCGGAGTCGAAGCGGCAGATGCCGGGAGGAAAGTCTCCAGCGGGGAATGGCTGGTTTCTTAGTGCAACTCCCTGCAATGGCTGAAATGTGGCTCTTTTTTTTTGTGTTGTTCAAAAGGCATTTTTTCTGGTTTTAAAGGGAATCGAGTTCACTATTGGAAATATGTGTTATTTGTTTCCAGGGGACTTGAGCGGCTTCCTCGCTTAGCCTCTACAAGAACCAAGGGTTCAAATCCCCAAACCAAACCACCAATCCAAAACCGGGAAAGCTTTTTGGTTGCAACTTTTGTCAGTTTCCGAATTGGACCCATTATGAGCAAGTGCGCGCGCTTGTCAACAGCACCAAGATGGGGACCCCGGATTTTCATAAACCCTCGGTTTATTTTTCAATCGGGCGGGTCTCCCCTTTTTTGGAGGGGAACCCCCATTAATAATTCAAGGATTTACTTACTCTGGGCTGTCATTATTGTTAAATGTGGATTTGCAGGCCTCTCGGTGAGTTGACTCTCAGGAAGTGCCGTTAACAGTTTGTACATGGCATCTTGATAGTTTGGATATGGCATCCCTCATCATCCCTCCAAAAAGATGTGGCTTCGTTTTGGTTTCCCATTGGAAAACATACGAGCAGGAGGTTCCTAAAAACCAACCACACTCAAATATTCAATGTAGTGTTTATGGTGTGTTTCTTACACCAGTAGTTGCCGGGGCCAAGCATTTGACTGTCGCCAGGCCAAGGTGAAAACTGGGTGCCCAGATTTGCCAAGGGACTTGGGGATGGGATCTCCTCTTAGACCAACTTGGCAGCCATTCCCAGACTCTCCATGACCCTTGAAAAATGGTTGGTCATGAATTACCCCAAAGAAAGGTGTCATGACCCGATTTTTTGGGTCATGGAGACTCTAGGTCGTCATTTGTTGGGGTCCCAAGACCGGTGTGTTTCACACCCACCTCACCCACCTCACTCACCTCACCCCCGCCCCAGCCACGCCTTAGCCGAGGCGCACTTCCCCCCCCAGGAGGCCTATGACCCGGACGCGGGGCGCATGGCGATGTTCGCCATTTTGCTCTCCGACCTCACGGAGACGCGTCGCGTCGCGTCGTCGAGCCGTCGCTGCGCTTTGGGGAGAGTGTGACATGCGCTGAGATAGTCGCCCGAGATTTGTGAAGAGTTGTTTTGAGAAGCTTCGCTTTGGGGAGAGTGTGACATGCGCTGAGATAGCCGCCCGAGAGTTGTCAAGAGTTGTTTGGAGAAGGAGCCAGTCAAATGGGCGAACGGAAAGACAGTACATGCTAAGGGCTTATTCACAAAGACTCGGTGTCAACTAGTTCAATACACGGGTAAATGAAGCAACAGCAGGGGAAACCTGGTTATGGCCAAGTTTTTAGTTGGGTTAACATCCAAGCCGGTGCAAAGGTGCGTGGTGGGGTTTTCTTTTGCTTGCCGTGAGTGCTTATCTTCGTTTTCCCTGTTGGCTTGCAAGGGATGATCTGGTTGATATTCCCAACCAGAACTGGAGGCGGCGAGCTTCGCAGCTTACATACTCTTGAGCAGTCGTATGTTGGTGTGGTTTTTTGTTTGCTTTTCGACCCACGCGTCCGGGCATATGTCAGTAGTTCTGCGGGCCCCGAATTTCCAAAACCACCAGTTCAAGTCACCAAAACGAGGGAAGCTGATTGATGGTGTCCGTTTCCAGGGCCTCTCAATGTTTTGATCCCCAGCTTCATGCGTTTTGGACAGAACTTGGAGCTGTATGACAACCCCTTGCCATTGGCTATTGCATTTCAACGGGCCCAGTCCCAAAAAACGACGCATGGACCGGATTCCATGTCAAGCGATGCAGAGTACGAACACCCAAACTTGGCATGCTTCCAACATTTGGAGCCTTGGCAAAAGCGGGAATGGGAACCCGGATCTACGTAGAACCTCTGGTTGACTAGTGGGGTGTCCCCTTTTCAGTGTATTGATCACTCTTGGAGGGGTACACCCACATTAACAAAGCTGGTGCATTAATCCGGCTCATTGTCCTTGCTGAAGCTGCCACACTGAGCCATGAATCAGGCTTAATCTCAGCGACCTAAATGAGAGCAGCCTGTGCGTTCTACATGGAGCGCCCCAACAGGATGCTCCGTCGGCTGTTTTGTGGTGCTTTGAGGGTCTGATTCGAGCCCGGCACAGCCACTCTCCATGTGGATTTATTGTTGAAGGCCAACAGCAAGCCAAAAGCGGGCTTATTTATGCGGAGTTCCTATTCGGGGCACTGGTGTTGTTGTGAAGGTGAGAGGCGTGAAGGCAAGCAGTCTCAATCAGATACACCGGATGTTGGCATTACAGAGACACTCTGAAATTCCAAAAAGAAGGCCCACACGAGATATGTTTGTTTTTGTTGGAAGCCCCTTTTCACTGAAAGCAACCAGCAGATTCCAACCACTTGCTCTCTTGCTCTTTTGCCATGGGTATTGTGCAGATTTGTTCTTGGAAATTCAATATTTAATTATATATTGACAGTCGAAACGGAAACCAGCAGGGGATTAGTTTCCCCCACACATAAGGAAGTCAACAGCTTGGTTTTTCCCTCATAGTTCTCTAGTCTTGACTCACCTGATCAGGAGCCTGTGCCAGAGCTGGCTTCCCCAATGCTCATTACCACCAGGAAGGCAGGAACACGTCCGGCGCCAATAACTTTGAGAAACCGATTTCTCCGTTCGAAGCGGCTTTCGCTTTTCGCGAAAAATCAATATGGGTATGGGTCAAAATTAAACCAAGGGAACCGCAGGTTTTAGTCCATGTTTCCATTTGCCAGGGCAAGCCATTTTGGGTACCTATGTTTGACTCGCAGCCATATACATTGATTGACAGAAAGAGGTAGGCATGTAGAAAGGTAGATCAATAAATAGATTTGACGGATTGCATAGATAGACCGACAGGCTCTGAGGCGTCACTGTTTCCAGTGCAGCAGGAAATGGGACAGTTCGGGTTTGGGATCTTGTGAAGCAAGGCCACGGATTTGTTGTCCCACCTCAAGCAACAACCTTACAACCCGCGCAAAGACCTCCCCACAGGGTTGGTCCAGGAGCCGTATCAGGGAAACCAGAAATTGCCAAACAGCTTGCCATATTTCAACCCTCAATGGTTTGGGAACAGGTCTCAGGGAGTGGTGTGTGCTTGCGTGTGTTTGTGTGGGTGTTTGCGTGGTTCTTGGATAGTTGAACGGACCTATCCAGGAACCACTGGATGTCCCAAACGTCAGGGGACATTGAGGATACAAGCCTAATGGGGCCTCTTTAGGGGTGTGCGACATTTGCACGGGGATCCTGACTCCTCTCATGAGTGGGGAGCAAGCAAACCTTGCTCATGGATCATCTTCTTTGTCATCATGTATGAGCCATAACTATTTGGCTAGGTGGTTTTCCCAAAAAAAAGCGGGGTGGACATGTACCAGTCCCTCTACAAGCCGTCCAAAGGGTTTTGACCCATGGCGTGGGCTTTTTGACAGGGTGCGGCCGCATATCAACTTCCCCCCCCCCCCAAGAGAAGAAAGAAAGAACATAACCATGTTCTTTGGGGAACCGTTTCTTAGTGCCTCCCAGCCATCCGGTTCCTTTTCTAAGAAGCTTTTTAGCTTCTTAGTTGGTTTAGTTGTTCACGAAAAGTTGAACTTTTAGCAGGGGATCTGATGACAGCCCAGTTTTGTGGGGTGCTTCCATGTAGAAAACCATGAGGGTTCCTACACTCGACTTGTGGATGGCAGGGAAAACAAGGCCCCATTGGCTGACTTTTGAAGGGAAGCCTCGCCAAGGAGATGATACCCTCTTTCCAACAATCATGGAAGCCCACCGAGTGGAAGTACCCGGGCACTACCCGGTTTCTCACTTCCTGAGTCAAACCGAACATCAAGCTGTTTGGGAAGACTATTTGCAACAGTTTCCATTTTCTTGGGCCGGCCCCACTAGAACCCCCAGTAGTGCCCGTTTGGGGGGAGGGTTCCCCTACTAAAACAGACTCCAGAGAAAAGTTGGTACCCTTATTCTGCCCTCTCTACTGGAAGGCCTAGCCCCGGAAATGAGATAGGCCACGGAAAAAACAATCCGATAAATCTGAAAAACCTCGATTCTGTTCGTTTTTCCGGCTCGGCCGGAGGCCTTCCACTCGGGGATTTGGCGGACGCCCTTCGTGATGGCCAGCCTGGGCAAGACCACCTGGCCCTTTGGCGCTCCGAAGGCTTAAAAAGCTTCCAGCTTCCATTTGCTTAAGTTGTTTTTTGGCTTTCCCCTGTTGGTTTGAAGGGAATCGATTTCACTACTGGATTGTTGGTTTGTTTTTCAAGGTGGAAGCCAGAGTTTGGTGAAAGGAATATGTGTTTTAATTTCCCCTGCTGGTTTTAACGGGAATCGATTTCACTAGGCTTCTATTTGCTTAAGAATATTTTTGGATTGGCTGCCTTTTCCTTTCGCGGTGCCAAGCTTCCACCAGTGCCCCTCTGGAAGCCTCATTAAGCCCTCATTGAACAGGGGCCCTTTCCATCACTTCCAATTGAAAGGAATATGAGTTTATTTTCCCCTGTTGGTTTTAAATGGAATCGATTTCACTACTGGAAATATGTGTTGTTGTTTTTTTTTTACTTTTTCCAGGTGGAAGCCAGAGTTTGGTGAAAGGAATATGTGTTGTATTTCCCATGTTGGTTTTAAAGGGAATCGATTTCACTACTGGCAGTATTTGTTTTCCTGGGGTCAAACAACCAAATGGAAGGGAGGCTTCAAATTGAGTTTGGTCCGATGCGAGAAACGAAGAGAAGTGAGCTGGGTTTCCTGGTTTCCAGTTTTGGCCATGGCCATGGCCCTCAAAGGTGATCTTTGCACGGTTTCCATGGACCCAAAAGCTGATCGCCTGTCAAGTCCTTTGTGAAGTGGGGTAAAGTAACCCTTATCATGGTGCGATCTTGTGTTTTTTTTTTTTTTTGTTGTCGCATGTTGCAGGGGGGTGGTCGGGGTGGAATTCATCCAAGAAGCAGGGTTCAGGGGTCATCGGTTTCAAGGTACCAAGGATTGGAGCGCAAAAAGGCGTGGTTTTCAACTGAGGGCGTCGGAGGATTGCGGCTAAATCAGAGAGGAACCACTGGTCCGAACTGTTTGACTTGCGAATTGTTGGCACTTGTCAACTTTGGGGATTGCCAAAATAAGCTCGGGAAAAAAGACGGTAGAAGTAAAAGGTTTATGGTTTGGCTTGGGCAGTCCACCTGATTGTTTCGCTGCCTTTCTTTTGACGGTTGATGGCACCAATATGAGGGTTGAGACGGACCTGACTGGGGCGGAAGTGAGCTCAAGCAGGTTTCGTCCATGTTGCCCTGTCCTTTTGTTTGGCAGAAGGCGCCCTCGTTTCAAACCTGGATCAACAATGATGTGCTTGTTTTATTCGCAGGCGGGCGCGAACGCGCGCGGCTTACGCGTCAAAAGCACATTCTTGGATGACATGCTCCAGGTATCTAGCCCTATGCGAAAACAGAAGTAGATCAGCACTGCCAATTGTTCCCTTGTAGGGCTCCATACTTGAGAATCCCGTCCCAGACATGGTCTGTCGCTTAGGTTCTTGGGCAAGGTGGCCCCGAAGAAGGCTCCATGAGCCTTGGATGCCCAGCGACATCGGCTGGGAGTTAGGTCTGGCGACCTGCCGTTCCCATCGGGGAAAATCACGCGTGCAGCCATACGGTTCTGATTGTGGCGTGCGATTCGAGGTGCTTATGGCTGTCGATGGTTGCAAAGTCCATGGCGCACCACCTGAGAAACCCTGGTTTCTGATGAATCCCCCATAAATACCAAACAAACAATGGTTCCCCATGGTTTGCAAGCGGTGCGAGCAGATTTCGTGCATCCACAGTACTTCCTAAGGTTCGCGACGGTTTTTGTCGAAATCAGAAGGGTCCAGGCGTTTGCATTGGAAGGGTCACCCTTTGGACTGCTTTGTTTCCTGACAGGTGTTTTCAGCTTTCCTTTTTTGCACGTGGAACCCCAAATAAATCACATTTGAAGAGACAACTCCCTTGGGAGGACCCCCACCTTTTGGGTTTCACGTTTATTTGCCGGGGAGCTTCCTGGGGAGCTGTTTGTTTTTTCTTTGCTGTTTGGTTTTCAGGCATCGAACAGATTGCTTGATTTGCACTTTTGTTGCACCTGAGCAAAGCTCGATCACCTTTCGTAAGTTTGATGGAGCCATTTGTTTCCAAAAGTTGAGGTCTAAGGGGCAATTGCCTATGATCGTGACTTAACGTCTGTTCATTTCTTTAAAGTGCCTCACGACCTCATTCTACACCTGGAACAAGTAGATTCTACAATATGTTCTACATGTTCGTGAAGGTCGTGCCCTTTATTTAACTAACTACATCAAATGTTTGCTTAGACATGTGGCTGTGGGTCAAAACCAATGGTACGGTTTTGGGCTAGTGCACGGCCATTTTAGACTATTGTAGTGGGGATTGGGATGTTCACGGGGGAACGATTTGGATTTTGACCCATGGCCATGTCTTAAGAGGTTTCCTTTTGTTCCCTTTTTGCGGCAAGCAGCAGAGCGGCCGGCGCAGCCGGTGGCAACCCACAGTCCGACTTAGGGAGCTGCTCAACGGTGTCCTTTTTGGTTGTTTTGGTCGAAGAATAGATGGCGATTCCTGGTTTACCTGGTGGTTTTTCCTCATCTACCAGGGAAACCCATCTATTTGCCCCTAAAAGGACGCCTATGAACGGGACTTGGGTTGGATGTGTGGTGCTGCGAAATGACCCGGAATGCTACACAAAGATGGTGAAACAGTTTGGAGCGGTAGGGTTGGGCAACATTTGCTCAGACAAATAAATCAACAATCCCAAACTAGGACGCCGAAATGAGGATAGACAACCGCCGTTCAGTCTACATAAGTAGGTTACACCTGGGCTACAACCTGCTTTTTTAGGGAACCACCCCCTTGCACCCACTACACAGTACCTCACTTTGAAGATCCAAACCTACGTCTTGGAGGCGCCAATGGTGTCGTAGCCGTACGTACCGCGCAGGAGAAGGAGGAATACCTGGCTGCCATGTTGAACTGCATCGAGTCCTTCTTCAACGGGCCTGGTAACCAGCGACGATTCGGTCCCCCAGCGAAAGGGTGCCCTTTCTCACCCTTTTTTGGTTGGGAGGAAACCCCTGTTAAAATAGACTACAGAAACAAGTTGGTACCCTTCTTCTAAGCTCTCTACTGGAGGACCTAGGCGATTTGGACCTCGATTTTGGAGAAAACCAACCTGTTTTGCTCATGAAGCCAAAGGCAACATGGAGGTCAACAAAAAACAAGCGGCGAGCGTCACCTAGTTTAAGCCCATTTACTTGCCCAAGAGAAAACCTAAATCTCGCCTGTGCACTTGACATGTGTTTGTGGTGCAAGGTCTGATTGGTTTCTAGCCGCCTGATGGCCTCCTGCCGGATGCCATTCTGTGAAGTCCCGAGCGGGCATGGTTGAATTGCTTGGACATGAAGCAAGTGGACCAAACACCTGTAGAAACATTAGCCACATCAATGTACAGGGGGCTCTTTGTTGCGGAGCTGACCGCGCCTCCCCACCCTCCAAAGACCTTGCCCCAAACAGGTTGGGCAAACACATCTAAGAACAGGCTGCAGGCTAAACAAATGAGGCTTGAAGGTTCTACACTAGGTGCATGAGTTTGAAAAAGTTACCAGGCCTGCACAGCGCTTTGTTCGTGCTGCGTGTCGTTTTTGGTGGGTGTCCAATGAAAAAACTTTAAGCAAACAAGGCGATGGTTGTGGGAGATGAGGTTTCCACGTTGTCCCAAAACGGAAACCGCCTGACAAGATGGCACAGGGATGGCAAGCTTTGGTACCGGAAGCTTCTTCGTGTTCGGGCCCGGGTCCAAAAGCAGTCACTTTCTCAGGGCTCCTTAAAAGAGATGCAACTTTTGCCACCATCTGAAACATGTGGCTTTTTTTCCACCACGAAAAAAATTGGAAACCCACCCTTTACAAGTGGAAACCACCATTTACAAGTGGAAACCAATGTTCGATCGGGGCATCCAGATCCCGGTTTATTTCACCGGCGTCACGTTTGCTTCACATCGCCTGCGCAAGCGCAGGCCCTTCCAGGCCTGCCTCGCCAAGGACATGAGCGCAGGCAGCCGGGCCGGGCCAATGGGAGCAGATAGCCCGGAGGGAAGACCACGACCCCTCAGTTTGTTTGACAAATGAGGGGGTGTGAGTTCCCTAAAACATACCCCTGATAACTTGCACATGGGAAGAGATGACACTTAACATATTGTTGCATTCTAATGCATGGCTAAAGATAAATTAACTAGGGCGAGCGGCAAAGCAGATTAAACATACTGAACCAATCCAAAGGGAGTTGGAAAAGGAGCGCATGCATATTGCCCAAAGCCGACCTTTGTGACCCGTTGGTTTCCGGGCGTCGGTCTCGTTTTCGTCATGGCCTTACAAGCTTAGCTTCCCAAGTCCGGGCCTTTTGGGCATGTGAGATATGTGCAGGACCTGCCCATAGCACCAGGATATCGCATAGGGCCAAATACCAGTTGCCAAGGACATTGACCCCCCTTGTTCAAGAGGACCGTTGCCCAAGAGGTGTTGCGAGCGCGAAGGTTGCTGAAACACGACCTCTGGTGCTGAATAGCCACGGGAAGCCATGAGTCAGCCATGTCTCGGAAGAGGTCAAAGCTGGGAACCCATTCCGGGCCCAACTGTGGTGTGAAGCCAACATGAAACCAATCTGTCAGAGAGAACTTTTCTGATACCCATCTGAGCATCTGGCTGTCAAAGATAGGTGCTGGCCAACATGAAGCCAGGTTCTTTTCCCAAGCCGCCTGAGCCAACGGGCCTACTCTTGTCAAGACATGCCATGGTCAACAACTCCCTTTGCTTCATGCGGAGTTTTCACCAGGCAAGCTCATGGCAGAGACCCGACCGGCAGGCGAGCAGCTTGACACCATCAGCAAGCGCTATGCCAAGTGCCGCCTGGATGCGTTGAGTGCCGCTTACCGCTGAAAGCGTTGTGTTGCGCAATGGAATGCAGGGGCGTCTAGTACCCGGCTTTTTGCTGATTCGATTGCGGTCCTAGTATAAGCCTTACTCCAAGTTAGACAAATGTTATTTGGGATCCCGGGCTGCGGTTCGCAGGTGGGCTCTATAAAATTGGGCTGGGGCCGGCAGCCAAAGTTCGAATTTGAGTAACTGCCTGTCTTTGGGGTCGAGGCGTAGACTTACTTCCCCGGAGAGACTTCAAGTTGAAGTTCCGTTGGCTTTGATCAGGCCGCGGCGCCGCAGAGAGAGAGAGAGAGAGAGAAAAAAACAAAAAATAGAGTTAAGGACTTTGAATCTTTTGGAGAAATTGCGAGTTTCCTCCAGTTCTTTTCTTGGAACCTCCAAAAGTTACAATTTCAATGGACACCATCAGAAGAAGTGCAACTTTTGGGGGGGAAATCTAGGGAACCCTGTTCATTTTAGTGGTAGACTAAAGGTTTGGTTGCTTTTGCTGACCTCTCGGGAAGTGGGGCAAGCCGTCCTTTCTCGACTCTATTCAGAATAAACCAATAATATGTTTGAGGGAACCCCTGGAAGCTTCGGGGAGACCCGCTGTAGGCCAAGCGTTCAAACTGCCAAAGTTCGAACACGCGTTTTCACTTGATTGTTAGTGGGTTGGATCTTAATAACTTCAGACTTTAACTTTTTGAGCGTTTTCCGTATTGAACCCAAAACAAGTTGAACACTCTTTGCAGACTGGTCGTTGCAAGTTTAAGCAACCCCAACAGGGACAGCAAGAGTGTCTTTGCCGGAAATTGCGGAGTTCGGGTCAATTCGTTGAGCAGGTTCCTGGAGTGTTCCGGGAAGTTCTGGTTGGGATACTCCTCCTCCGTGTGGTTTGCTTCTTCGTGCTGGTGCGAGAGATGCAGGGAGTGAGAAATGGAATGAATCCGCAAAGAACGTCCCCGATTCTGTGTCCTTTATTCGGGAATCCCAAAACGGTTCATTCCAATTTCTTATTCCCTACCTGTCGCACCAGCAAGAGTTGCATTTTGCATTTGGTTTGCTATAAACTTTTGGGTAGAACGGTTTTTGCAAGCGGGGGTCTTCTCCCAAAAACTATGTTCTTGTTGTGGTTGGATCTTTGGGCTTTGACTTCGTGGCAAACCGTGGATTTTCCGTTGGACCCTCAAAACGTAAAACTTGTTGCAGAGGGGTCAACAGCAACCAAGCCAGGGTAGGCTAAGTATGAACTAGGTTTTGCAGTAGTGCCCTTTTACCCGTTTTTGGGGGAGGGTTCCCCTACTAAAATAGACCAAAAACAAAGTTGGTACCCTTATTCTGAGCTCTCTACTGGAGGACCCCAGGTGCGGGCCAAGAGTCTCAGAGTGGCAACCATGTTAGCACGGGCCTTTTTGGTTCACAGAACTCCCATGTTGCACTTTGACCTGCGCAAGGCCATGTGTTCATGTTTTTGAATCCACCGAAACAAGTTTGGGCAAAGGCAAGGTTGGGTTGGCCAAAACTCGATTCATGTGTTCAATAGTTCATGCTCAGCCTTGGTTGCATGCGGCAAAAGCCACCAGGATGTCATAGATGGGTTCAGGTGCTGTCCTTCGAAAAAGCGAAACAACCAAACATTGAGTGCCTCACGAGTCCTGAGCCTCGCAGCAGCTCAACCTTTGCAGATATGGGTGTGTTGTTTGTTGAAGGTACCCATTTTGGGGCTTTTAAGGGAAACCACGAGTAACACCACCATTTTGTGGGGTCCCCTTAAAAATGCACACTCATGCAATATGATGTTTCGAGCTCGAAATATCGATATTTCTCGGTTGGATTTCCACACCAAAAAAATCGACCGGCAGTTTCATGAGGCAACTTTCGGGCCTTCGGCGCCCACAGACATGCGGCATCCCTCTTTGGGTTTCCTCTGGTTATGTTCTTCGGCTTCCCGGTTCCAAGCCTCTAAGCCTTTCTCTACGCAATTAGCCAAAGAGTTGCCGAGCAAATGCCCGAGGTTTTGGCCTTGGAAGTCGGAATTTCCTGGAGCTTCCTAGAAAACCAGCCAAAAGACTGCGCCTAAATAGCAAGGATTTCCCTTTTGAGCCAAATACCCACCAAATACCAGAGGCTTGAAGAGTTTCCTGGAGCTGAGCGAAACCACGGATCAAGGTCAACATGAAACCACCAGGATATGGACCGCTGGTTTTAGTCCAGCTGCAAGCCTTAGTCCTTGGTTCCACCTCCTGGGTTGCACTTTGGGGTTACCCTACTTTTGCGCAGCCCCTTTCAAGGAGTACTTCCATTTGCTGAAAGGAATATGTTTAATTTCCCCCGTTGGTTTTAAAGGGAATCGATTTCACTACTGGACATATTTTCCATATGTTTTTTCAGGGGTCGAAAAACCAAATGGAGGGGTACCATGTCTACTTTTTGACCCACAAATCCCAGCGGCCGATTCTTCGAACGCTCCTCGGGCAACACGAGGCTTCAAGGTGCTGGAGCGGAGCCAGCTGGGGGCGCCCAGTGAAGCGCTGGGTGGTTGGTGGGGAGGGGTGGGAAGGGGAGGGGTGGAGTGGGGAGCGGTGGGGAGTGGTGGGGAGGGGAGGTGGGTGGATGGGAGGTTGGGAGGGGTGGGGTGGGGAGGGGCTAAGGGGTAAGGGCTAAGGGGTGCACTATTTGAAGCTTGGTAGGATTGCAGAGGCAAGCCGAAACCGACCACCCGGAAGGGGTTCTGATTTTCAGAACCGCCCATCGTCTCATGGTGAGTGTTGATGCATGCCGTCCTGGATAGACCCTCGATTGATTCAGAGCTCTGGGAGCCATAGCTTAAGACACCATAGTTCCCTCATCATCGCTATGGCCTTGTTTGCCATGGCTTCAAAAGGTGCCATGCTCCAAAAAAGCGCCAGGGGTCCAAGTACCAGGGGCGCTAGACTATGAAAATCGCCACCTGAGCCACAATCAAAACCCGGGCAAACGAAGGTTAGTAAGGGACCAGCCAGAAACAGCTGCGTTTCCTTACATGGTTCTGGGTCAACCATTTTGATAACGCCATGGAATCTTCGGGGGGGCTATGGGGGGGGGCTATCCCTGGATAAGCCCAGGACAACCGAAGGATAAGCGCTCAATAAGGCCTTATTAAGGACCTAATAAGGGATAGCCCCCCTCCCCATAGCCCCCTCCCCATAGCCCCCGCTTTCCCGCCAGTTTGCGCGCGAAGCTGCCGCCGGGCAGCGCAGAGCTGCTGTCCATTGCGGCCTATCGGGTGCTCACGGCGGCCAACCTCAAGGCAAGCGGCCGCCAAACGCGTCCCAGAGAATCCGCACGGCCGATTGCACATGGGTTTTGTGTTTTGCTTTATTATCCTTCCATTTGCTTGATAATATTGTTTTTAGTTTCCCCTGTTGGTTTTACAGGAATCTATCACTACTGTGTATATATATATATATTTTTGTCCAGGGGTCTTAAGCAAATGGAAGTATCCCCTTTTTGCCTGGGTCTTGTTTTGATAAAGGGGCTACCCGCTTCACCTTGGTTTGCATGCTGATCCGGGTTCCCAATTGACTATGAGTTTTGAAGAATCCCTCAAAAAGAAGTTGGACATAAATCCTGATGCCCCCCCCAAAAAAAATAGATTGGGCCTGCAATGTTTCAAAGGGTACCCTTTTAGCCTTGGCTTAAAAGGAAAGTAAGCGGAACAAACTCCTAAATTGCGCGGGCTCTCCTAATTTGACGCATGCTCAATTATTCCTTTCAGATCCTTGAGGGGCATTTTTTTTACAAGAGATGTATGATGAATCAACCGAGTTTACCGCAACTCTAACTAGACAATGAGTGCGTAAGTGCATGGAATGGGGTTGCTGGACGGGGGGAGGCTCTGAAAGCAAGTAATGTCGCGATCAGTAGAGAGACATGTGACCTCCAGTGACGTGACATCTTGCAGTTTTTCAGGATTAGTACGTCCCCCTGGTTGATGAATATGCAGACTTTTGCTCCGCCAAAGTTGCTTGGTGAATTACCCTCTTTCCAACATAGAAGTGAACGGCTGCCGGCCGTTTGCGGGCAACTTTAATGTGCAACCCACCATGGTAGTTGCTCACAAACTCCTAGGTTCCTGGACAAATAAGAAGGGTCCACGAAAAAACTTATGAGCTTTGCAGGGGCGAAGAGGGAGCCCAACCATCACATTGTTGGTTGGTCCTCCCATGAGACAAGCTCAATTTCGGGACACCCCTCCTTTCCTTTCTGCGCAAATTCAATTGCGAACTGGAGCCTTTTCTGGGGGCGGTTCCTCACTTTCAAGTTTTTGCGTGTTTGTGTGTGTGTGTTTTTTAGGGTGGTTTGCTTTTTGGTTCCCTTTCAAAACCACCCAAGGGGAACCCTCCAAAAAGAGACCCAGGCAGACAGCGCCACGGTGGAAGAGGTGAATACCGAGGTGCACGTGGATGAAAAGGCGCCGGTTACCCGATTTCCAGTGCTTCCGGCGATGTAAAGTGGTACCTCGTATAGGAGCTGGAATCACTGAGGAGCATTGTCCCTTACAAGAAGTCACCATCTCCTGTGTTGTGGGGATTTTCGGCCAACCCAGAGGCTCCATCTAGGTTCCCGGGAACTGGGGTGAGACTTCCGTGACAAATCGTCCGTGCGAGCGAAAGCAATGAAGGTCCGAAATGCAATTGGGTGGCTCGTCCTTTTTGGAGTTGGTACCCTTTTTGTGATGTGTTTAAAGGGAAACCAAAAGGCAAACCACCGTTTGCGGGGTTCTCCTAACAAAAGACACCCCCATTCTTATTTGAGGTGTAGGAACTGTAATAAACAAATTATTTTGACAAGCCTCCTTTTTGGATGGGCAAAATACAACAGAAAACCAAAGGAAACCAAGCACCTGGAGTGGGGTACACCAAGTTTCGTAGGTTTCAGTTGGCTGGACCCTAGAACAAGTTGGATTTTTCAAGGGGTCTCCACTCGCCGACAAAGGCTTAAAGAGGGTTGCCAGGTTATGTGGGTCCCAGGGCCCAAATCACACCCCCCATGAGTCCTGAGCTTGGGTGCGTTTTTTGGAGGGTAGCCTCACTCCCGAGTTTCTAGACTGTAGACTTGGGTTTGGACCATGCCTCCATTTGCTTAGTAATATTTGTTACTTTCCCTTTTTTGGTTTTAAAAGGAATTCATCACTGGACGTATTTTCATTTTTCTCATTTGGCCTGAACCAAATGGAAGCATGTTAGTGGCAAACAAGAAGTTTAGAGTTGTTTTGGCCATCCACTCGGGAAGTGAGTGCCCGTTTTGGATGGGTTGAAAGGGACAACACCCCCCCCCCAAGAAAAGAAAAGAAGAAGAAAGGACAGTCCCCCTATTTTTGAGACAACCACTTATCCTTTGTGGAAAGGCCATTTCAGTCGCAAACAACAAGACTGAGTTTTTGGTCTGACTCAGCCACCGAGGAAGGAGTGAGCTGAAGGGGTTGATCTCTGTTGTCCCCTAAGCATCCAAAGGCCCAGGATCCCTTATTTAACCCTTGCACACGTATGTCAACAGGTGAAACCCGCAAGCGAGCTTTGTTTTTGCCTGAACCATGACGCGCGCGCTGCTCTGCGTCTGCCGAGCGTTCGCCTCAATGAAGGGTGAATGAATGTTTGTCTCAGGTCCCGAGTTCCTGGACTTTAGTCACTTTTTGGGAAGACAGTTTTAGTGGTAACCAAAAAGTTTGGACTTTTTGTTGGGTCGTCCACTCAGGAAGTGAGTAGTGCCCGAACCATGTGAATGACGTCTCGTCTTCAAAGCACTGGGGGCGTCCATGTAGCCGACGGCCCGACAGCGGATTCCCGACGGCAGGCACAGGAAGCCAGTTCCCCGGAACAGGCGCCGGCCGGGAGTTCTTGTGTTCTCTTCTTTGGCGTTGCATGGGTTCCATGTGAATCGGGAGAGAGTGTTTTGGCACTTTTCCCTTGTCGAAAGTGATAAACATCAACAATTTCATGGCTCTTATGGTTCCCCTCCCTATACCTGCTTGGAAACCCCTCTTGGAGGGGTCCAACTTGAGTTTCTGGTCAAGGGCAGACCCGGCGGGTTCCCGCATCGGGACTCTCCCACACACGGGCAACAAAGGCTCAATAAGATTTGGATATCCCCACCCCCTTCAAAGTTGCCTAGTTCGCCCAGTAGTGCCCTTTTACTTTTTTGTTTGTGGGAGGGTTGCGCTACTAAAATAGACCAGAAAAAGTTGGTACCCTTATTCTAACCTCTCTACTGGAGGACCTATTTGAATTTTGGGAGCGAGACTCCGACCCCCTGCAGAGCTCCGATACTTCCATGTTCTTAAAGGACGGTGGCCTTTGTGGCTCGATTCGGCTGAAGGAAGAAGCAAAATGCTGGATGAATCATAACGACGTCACACGACCTCACCCAAATGGTGGTTTATGTGGGCAATCCCCCCAACCACCTTATTTCAGGGTGGTGAAATACTATAATTCACCCAGAAAGTGGAATCGGGGGTTCGTGAACGAAGCCAGACAACAGAATCGAAGTGTGTCTCCGAGGCAAATATGGGCTTGTCTCAACACAGACATTGGAACCGCGTTTCCCTTACCCAGTTGCCCAGTGGTTCCCCTTTAAAGTCAAACACGGGTGCCGTTTTTTCCCGTGGCCACGGGGCATCTTGAGGTGGGGTTATGTTTCTCTACTGCTATTGGGTTGGATCTTTAGACTTCAACTTTGTGGATTCCCCTCATACCTGGACCTTCCGGGGGTCCAAAATTTTAGGCGTTGGCCAAACAACATGTGTATTTTTGCCTTTGTGTGAAAAAATGCTTTTAGCCGCCGTCGGGAATGTTCGCCTGTTGGTCGGGAATATTTGTCTGTTGGTCGGGAATTTTCGCAAGTAGATTCGGGAAGATTTCGCTTAACACCCAAATTGAGCAAAAAAAGGCCGTAGGCAAAAAACACGCGCAATTGCCCAAATGAGCATGCAGGAAGATCCAAGTATTTCCTTTTGACCAGCAAAAAGTGAAACTTCTTGCTGGGGGTGCTGTAGATCGGGGGGATCTACAGCACCCAAGGTATTGCCTTCCCGAAAACTGCGAGCTTCGGCAGGTGCTGTGGCAGCAGCTGCTGGAAGCCCTGCGCACGGACCGCCGGGCGCAGGAGAGCCGGTTTGGCATTTGGGCATCATTCCAGAGCAGGGTTGTGGGATCAAGGGGTTTTTCAGTTTTTCCCACTTCTGTGATACAAGGGATTATCCTCTTTATGTGGCAGGTTTGTCTTTGAGAAGCCCTTTTTGTTGTATCACAGAAGTGGTCGTTTCAACCACAGACCTGTTGCAGAGTTTCTTGTGGTGCGAAATGGATTTCGCAACCACAGTATGTCCCCCAGCCGTCGGGGCTGGCTGGCTGAACTCACCCTTCAGGCCACAAGGTTTCGACGACTTGCTTCAAAGTGGTGCAGGATTTCGCAACCATCCAGAGTAGTCCTTTTCAAGACCCCTGGCAGGTTCCATGTGAATTGGTGGGAGCGTAGTTCTTTTTTGGCCACTTTCTGTGATACCAACAAAAGTGGGGATGGCCCGTTTTGGTCGCTTCGGTAGTGGGGGGATTGTTCAACCACCAAGGCCGGCCATTTGTTTGTCACTGCCGGCCATTTGTCGGGGAGCAACTGGCATGGGGCGCCAGGAGCGGCGGCGGCAGCAGGAGTTCCTGTTGGGCCAGGCTGGTCCGATTGGCCCCAGCTGCCGAAGTGACACTGTGGATGGTTGCGAAATCCATTTACTTCCCCAGAATTAGCTCCTTTTTGTTTTGCTTTTTGTTGGGTCCCTTTGTTTTCCACCAGCCAGGCAAATCGGATATTTGTTTGCTGGGGTCCTATTTCCAGCCTAGTTTAGTAAACCTTGAAAGGATTCGATTCCCCTGTAACTGCCAACGGTTTGTTTGGTTTCCCGTGGACTCCAAGTGCAGACTCTCCATCCACATGGTGGGATTCCAGAGGAGTGAATCAAACTGGCTGCTCAAAAGTCGGATTTTGCAGTTTTTCGAAGAAACCTCGGAAATGGCGATGGATGAATTAGGCTTTTCCAGCGGTCAGGTTGTGCTCACACAGCTTATTGTTTACTGCACCGAGATCATCCCAATGCGCAATGACCATTCGCCGGAAACGGCTGTTTTCGTCGCATCGAGGGAATGAAGTGCCGATGCAACGCCCTTTGTCCCCTTGCTCTGGATGATGCGAACTTCGGCTTGCACGTGTTCTTGGCTAGGGTTTCCGCTTCTTGTTGGTCGTGTTATTTCAGTTCAGGGCTTCTCGGGGAGCCAATCCTCACCAACCTCCGTTGCCAGCCGTTTGACCCAAGTGGTACGGCTTTCTTGCAAGAGTTTGTGACCAGCCTTTTGACCAGATCAGCAGGCTTGGCTGCGGGACAGCATTTGGACCCCGAAAAGTACACTGAGTGCATTGCTTCCAAGCGCCAGTGGGCTTCGCTGCTTCGTCGCTGTCCCACGAAAGCCCAGCTCGCAGCCCCAAAATTCGTGATTTCCCTTCGGCTTCCTTTTCAAACAACCTCGAAACGGGTGCCAACTCAAAGCAAGGGGCATTCCTCGAATGTCGCGGCTGCGTTTGTGTGCTAACCCGTGGGGCTCGGCTTAGAGCCAAGCAGCTGCCATGTGGGGTTATCTTAGAATGGGAGCCATGAAAATTGGGATCCTTTGCGTTGGTTTCCTCTGAAAACACCCCCAACAAGGGTCTCCTGACAAGATGACATGCCCAGGTTTTTCCATGCAATCTGCTTCTGCCTTGGTAGCAGGTTTCATTTGGTACAACCCGAGCGTCCCAGCCTATCCGTGCTTGGCGGGCCTTTGGATTCCTTTTACGGATATAGGTACACCTTTGGTACCGCTTTTTGCTGACCCATTTGATCTTGCGTGCTACTTGTTTCTGCCTGTTTGCCAGCCGGAGGGCACTCTTTCTATAGACCCCCGAAATTGCAGGCATTCCTCACCATCTATGAGGAGTCGGACCCGGACTACACGGATTACACCAAGAATCTGTCCTCCTCGCTGGGACCTGAGCGCTTTCGGGGCCTCCGTGATGCAGGCCGACTTCAGGAAACCCCTTTTGGTGGCTTGGAGCCCGGCGGGTTTTTGTGGTTAGGGCTGATTTCGCGTGCACCCTCTACAAGGTTAGTGAAGCACTGGATCTGGGGATCCGCGTCAGCCAGCCCTCAAGTCTTTGGTGAAGCGCGGGACAGTGGATCGGATCTGTTTCTCACAAGGGGCCTTGTCCAATACGGGGTCTTGTCCAACACGGGCACCATATGGCAAGTGCTTTAAACAAAAATAATGTTGACAGTGTATTAGTAATCCCCCCCCTATTAATCCGGTCCGGGTGGACCCCCCCAATACTAAACAATTCATATCTCAGAAAACCCCCCCTCAATAAAAAATAATCCAAAACAACCCCCCCCAATTAGACCGGTCCCTGCCCCAGATGGCCGCTGCTATCTCATTTTCTCCACTGCTTCTTGAGCTCATTTCTTAGAAATGGCTGAACATGTCATCCATATTGACAACTCACATTCATAGCATGTACTCTGCACATATGCTTCTTCCTAATCTCTTGCCTTCCCTCCTCATCCAATAGGCTGTGCACTTCTCAATGCTGCATGATAAGCAGCCTGATTGGAACCTGCATCTACTGCACACTCCCACCTCATAGTGTTGGAGTTTCTCAATGGCCTTGTGATACTCTGCTGGCAAATCTGAAATCTGCAGCTTGGAATTCTCATTCACAATGGCCATGGCCTCAATCTGCAATGAAGTCAATGCCTCACCCTTCTTCATTTTGTTGCATGCCAGATCATAAGTCTTCTTTCTTTCCTGCATGACCTTCTGGCCATACTTCTCCAATAGAGCAATGCCATTGGTAACCTCTTTCTTCTTCATGTCTATCTCCTTCTGCAACTGGGGCATGAATTTCTGCATCCTGGCATGCCAAGCTTGCATGGCCTCTTCAGGCCACCCAATGGCAGCAGGGCCATGTCCAGTCAACATGGCAACCTCCATTTCCAAGTAGGTCATGATATACCATCCACGCAGATTGGAGCCAATTGGCTGCCTGATGCTGGCATTGGTTCTATCCAATGGAGGCCTCATCAAAAAGTCCTCATCCACGATTTCGTTGTTCAAAAGCCATGCCAAAATGGCATGTGCCTTGTGCAAGCATGGCTCACTCATAGTTGTCAGTGTCTCATAATATCTGATCTGCTCCTGCTTGGATATGCCTGGTCTCAAATCCACTACCAGGAGCACAATATGGTGACCAGCAGCAAATGGCATGAGAAAGCATTTGGCCTCAGGGTTGTCAAAAAAGTCAAACAAACAATGGTCAACAAATGCAACCCTGCTGTGCCTTGCCCTTCATCTTCTTCAGCACATATGAACTGATGCCCTCTTGGTTCATGTATTGAGCATCCTCAGATAGAATGCCATGCAGCGCAGTTGGATGGATGAACTCCACATCCTGGATGTCTTCCATTGTCTTTTTTGTAGCCATCCATCTAATGAGACCATAAGCAATGACCACAGTCTCAATGTCCACATCTGAATGGTCTTTCCTCAGATCAGCCAATGAAAAAACATGCTCAGCACAGACCGGACTAATAAGGGGGGGGGGGGGGTAAACAAATGGGTCCAAAAATGCTAACTAATATTAGCACAAAAGCTTCCATGCAGTCCTACTCTTTTTATGAAGCCCATCAGCTTCAAGGAGCACATGCAATGCTTTCTCTGATGCCCCCATGGCAGTGCCTTGCCTACCAAACAATGAAGGGCCAGCATGCTCACTCACCACTCTCAGCTTGGAAGAAGGAATGTCCAACTCATGCTCTTCCAATGGCGCTGGGGGGGATGATGGTGGTGGCAATGGGGGCTCATCAGGCAATGGCTTTGCTTTGGCTGGATGTGAAGCTAATGCCTTGGGCTGCTGCTGCTTATCCTCAATCTTCTCTTTGGCTTTGGTGGCAGCAATCTTTCTGATTCTGTCTTTGAGCTGATTTTTCTTCATCTTCTTTGCAAGCTTTGTCTTCTTCGCAGTGATCTTCTTTTTTTTGGTGGATGCTGATGGCACTTGGGCAATCATTTGCTCATGCCTGCTGTCAGTCATCAAAGCCTTCTTGATATCTTCCTTCTCATCAGCTTCTAATGTCTTTGCTTGCTTTCTCTCCTCTTTTCTCTTTGCCTTCTTTGCTTTCATCTTTTCTTTTTGTTTTCTGGCCTCATCACTCATCTGCATGTCCTTCAACATGGCCTTTCTTCTCAAATCCAATGGCAGCTGAAACTCACCAGCCTGCACCCATTCTGGCATGTCCTCATCCTCAAGAGCTGGCATGTCAGCATGTGATGGTGTTGGCTGTGCATAATCCCATTCTATGAGATCACTCAGCTCCTTGGCTCCATCTATCCTCTCCCAATTGGGCTCATTGATTGTGCAGCCTTCATCAAGAACATGCGCCAATCTATTGTCCAGCCATGTTTTGCTGATCCTCTTGGATCCCAATGGCTTGTCTTTGGCCCAATCTTCTTCACCACACCATCTCATCTTACCTGTGGCATCAGGTCTGAGTGCAAGGAATCCATTGCGCCTGAGGCCAGCCAAAACCCATGCTTTCTCCTCATTGGCCTCCACCATTTGCTGCATAGCAGCATCTACAGCAAAAGCTATGTCCAGGTTGCTGATCTTGGGCAATTCTGTGGAATTTCTCTGCATGTCCTCCACCTTCCTATCAATGTGTAATTTCATTGCTGCCTTGAACTGATGGCTGAAATCTGTATCTGTCAGCTGCATGGCACTGGTCATCTTTGGCTGTATTGTTGATTGTGCTTGATGAGATAAATATCTCATCTTTGTGGTGCTATCACTGAATGCTGCCCCATATGCATCACGTTGGTAGAGTGACACTGGCATCTCATGTGCACTGTCTTGAATGTTCCATGCCATGCAGATGCTGTCCATGTTGCACGATGGTTGTGACATAACTGTGAAATGTCGAAAAAGATGTGGATGGGATGCTCGAATCTTTCTCCATCCTTCCAATGCTCTCCCACACTTCTCACCAGCAATGTGCTTTCTGATTTTGCCAGCATATTCAATTGTCTCATCATGCAGCCATCTGTCATCAGGCCCAATGTTGGACAATCTTGCATGTTGCCCTGCCACTACCAAAATTCCTTTGGCAACATGTCCTTGAGGTTCTGCATTTGGGTCAAACCATCCAGTCACATACTGATGAGCTTCAAATGTCACTCTGAACTTATCAGTGTTTGCCTCCCTCATGGTTGTGGGATGCATCTTGCCAGTGCTGCCATCAGGCAATGGCATGCTCATCTTCCATGAGCTCTCAGTGGCAGCCTCGCCAGCAGGCACAATGCCTTGCTCATGCTCATTGTCATCAGCTATGGCTGGCTGCTGCAGTCCCTTTTGCATGGCTTGTTTGGAAAGCTCATCTGCCAATTGCTTCCTGACCTCATGTGTTGGCTTTGCACCTTGCCTTGTCTCATGCTTTGCAAAGACTTGTCTCATGGTCTGCCTCTTTGCCCAAAGAGGCACTTGATCGCTGAATGCCAGAACACATGAGTTCATATGCTGGACTGCTTCTTCAGGTCTGGCAAACATGTCTTGCAATTCTGATGCATCTCTTTTGGCAAGCTTGTGCATGAGAAAGTCATGATGCCACCATGTGAGTTCAGCACGAGTTTGCTGCTCAATCTCTGTAATCTGGGTCACCAAATTGGGCATCCAATATTTTGCACCAATCCAGCCAATGATCACATCAGCTCTCTTTGCCTTTGCCTTATCACTTCTTCTCATGGTCTGCAGCTGCTTCTGTGCTCTGGAGTGGGACCTCTGCAAAGATCTGCATGTGTAGGAGTCCTTATCATCCAGCTGATCCATCTCATGCTGCAGCTTTTGCTGTTCCTCTTCAAGAAGCATCTCCCATTTCCAAGCGATATGGCGCTTGAGAACAGCATGTCCATGACATCTCTCCATGTCAACCCATGTGGCAACCTTGTCCACCAAATGTGGAAACTCTCTCTTGGCTCCTCCTCCTGATGCCCTCAATCTCTCTGCAGTCTTCTTCTTGGCTCCTTTGCCAATGCTCATGGCATTCCTGCTTCTCATGCTGAAGCTGCTTTTGCTGCTGTCATGCTTGGCGCTCTCATCAGCCCATTTGCTTCTGGAAATCCATACTGCTTTGAGCTGGTCAGCTCTGATGGAATACTTGCCTGCAAAAACTCTGATGAGCCTGCTTCAGTTGCATGTTCATGTCTTGCTGCATGCATTTCCATACACACCTTATTCTTGACCTCCAATGGGATCTCATGCTTCAAAGGCTTCTCATGCTTCTGCCTTACATTGGAGCTGGATCCTCCCAGGACTCCTCTTATCACTGCTTTCTGTGGCCTGCCACCATAGATCCCATTCTTTCTCCCTATCTGCTTTTGTAGTTCATGCATCTCTTGCTTCTTGATCTCAATGGTCTGCCCTTTGATGGTCAGCTCACCCTTTGCTGCCAATTTTCTAATGACATCTTCTGTGGTCATTCTCTTTTTGCATGGCATCGCGTTCTCAATGGGCAGCTCTGCAATCTCTGGCACATCTGCCAATGCAGTCTTCTCATCACTGGCTGGGCTGAAAAACTTTCTCAATGTAAACTGCTTTTTGGTGCTAGCTGATGCTGCTGATGTGGAAGATTGTGGACTCATGCTGCTTGCCATGCTTTCTCTGGATGGTGTCCTGAAAAGGTTCTTTGGCTCAATTGGGCTCATGCTTTCTTCTGATGCCTTTCTCTTCATGCTGCTGCCTTGCTTAGGGCTCTCATCTCCACCTCCTACTCTCATCTTGAAGCTTGGTGGATGCTTTTGGGCCTGCCCAAGCCAGAAAAAAAAAGGTGTTCTGAAATGGTCGATTTCTTGATAAATCCTTTACTAGAAAATTCAAGTCTGGAAGGTTTCAAAGGGTACCCCACATTTGCCCCTTGCACCCCCAATTAATCAGCCC